CCAGGTACTGCAGCAGCAGTGGCACCAGCATCTGGGGGCAGGTTGTCAGGGTGGGCTCTCGGGAGGGGGCCTGACGAGAGCCCACTGCCCTCCTGTAAGCCCTGGGCCCTCCCTGGGCAGGGCTGGGATTCCACCCAAGTACACGGTTGCTGCTCTGCTGCTAAGCCCCGAAACACTGCCATAGCGGCTGGCAAATGGGCTGTGCCAAGCTCTTATGTGCCCTCGTTGGACTGGTTACGTTAACCGAGTCCTGGGAAGCTCCCCATGATCCTAAAGTTAAAGGGAACTTCCAGGACCCTGCTGCAGTGCAGTGCCTGTCCATTTGGACTGGCCAGTATTCAGGTCATGCCAGCGTTTTAATATTCATCTATCCCCTCTGCCTTGATGGCTCCACACGTGTCTGATGAGGACACACCAGTGGCTGATGCAGGGGCTGGGACAACAGCAGGTTACCTGGGCAGCCCTGGCACCCTCTGGGGGTGGGGGAAGCTCTGGAAGGCAGGAAAATCTCCGGTCAAAGATGCACCGGTGGAGGTGGGCATCCAGGGATCGGAAGTCATCATAGCTGCGGAGGACCGGCCAGGAACGGCCCTGCAGGGTTGGGAAGGACGAAGCAGCAGTGGTCCCATTACAGTGAGCTGAGGAGCATGGTGACCAGTCCACAGGGCTAGATGAGAGGCAGGGGTGGCCTCACCTGACAGGTCACCTGTACCCCAAACACCAGTTCATTCTCTCCAGAGAAGCTGGGGCCTTCACGCTCTGGAGACAGCAGAAGCTGCAGAGGGAAACAAAGGCCCAGGTGAGGGCCTCACTTTTGCCCCAGTGCTGACCGCACCAGGTTGCCACTCTGGAGGGATGGGTCTGTCTCGCTACGGGCCCTTCCCAGGGTGGGGCTTGGTGGTGTCTCTCTCAGCATACAAGGTCCTGGCACAGAGCATACAACTAACAAAGAAATAGTTGCTGAATGAATAAAAGAAGAAATGAATGCGCAAACAGCTTTCCCCCTTCCCCGCAGTAACTACTGCCACTGGTTGCTCAGAGAACTGGAGCAGCCAGTCCCAGGGATAGTTTCAGTGGTAAAGTGGGAGATATTTCTTTGGCGTTGGGTGGGATCTAGCCTCCCACCTGGGTGTAAAGCCCCCATACCTGGATGTGACCAAAATCAACATTCTCGTAATGGAAATGGGCACAGTCAGCCAGCCGGGGAAAGGGACCTCGAGGAGCTGAGAGCCTGCAAGACAGGTAACACATCACTGGTGGCTCCTGTGCTTGGCCTCCCCTCCTAAGCTGAGCCTCTCCCTCACCGCTCACCTTTTCCCAGGCTTCCCCTTCACACCGGGTCCCGCAGTGGGGGGCAGGGGCTGCACCGAGCCCTCCCCTGGGCCATCCAGGCTGTCAGTGCTGCGAGCCTGTGGAGCAGAAGAAGAATCAGAGGCCCCCAGAGATGGGGCAGCAAGACAACAGGAGCATTGTTATCCAGCAGCCTGGGTCTAGAGGTCCAAACTGCTCCACACGCTGCCCTAAGGATGCAGTCAAGGGTATGTCGGGGAGGTGAAGGCTGGGCTGAGGACAGGCCTGCTTCTTCGTGTGTGGTCTGGGGTGGAAGTGGAGGAGCATGTGCCAAAGGTGAGGCAGGGAAACAGCCTCAGCAGCTGGTTCCATCTCTGTTTTAAAACCTCCTGTAGCCCTGGTAGAACACAGTGATCTTCCATATGTGCCTCTCCGCATCTTTCGTCAATGTCTGGACAGTCTTATTGCTCCCAATCTCTCCCTTCCTGACAGCTTCTTCATAGTAAGTGCATGCTTTTCACAAAACACAAATTGCCTCTGTATCTCTAGAGATCACACACGTTCAGTGGCTCCCTGTTATCTTCAAGATAACTCTGAATTCTCTGGTGTCTGTCCCATCTCTTCCTATTGCCTCCATCCTCGGAGCTCTCGAAATTCTAAGAGTCCAGGAGCTGAGATCCTGGGGGTCAGGGGTCACATCACGAGTGCTTGCCCAGCCCCCTCCTGAGCCTCACCCTCATTCTCCTCTGACTTCCTTCAGGCCTGTGCAAGGCTAATCCTGCTGTCTTGAATCCTGTGCCCAGCCTCCCACAGGGCTCACTCCGAGTAGAGTGATGTTAATCCTAACCTCCTATTTTCCAACCTCACCTCTTGGGCCTCAACTCTCATGTTCCCGCCTCTTGGAAGCTCTCCAGTACTCTTCAGGCTGTGTCAGGCACCTCTTCTGGACTCTTCCATCCCCTGAGATTCCTTCACCCCAAACATGACAGCTCCGCCTGAGCCCTCTGAGATATCACTGGTGACAAGTCCATCTCCCCCACAGAACTGTGACTTTCCCAGGAGCAGGGCCTGGGACTCGAGTCCCCAGTTTCCCAGCATGGCCCAGCACAAAGTGGGACAGAGAGCTGGTGCTCCACACAGCCGGGTTTGTAACTAATTTCTTTGGATCCTAATTATGCCCAGCGCCAGCCCAGTCGCACAGCTGGGGCCAGGTAAAATCTGATGAATAAATTAACCAGCTGCCAGCGGAGGAGACTGGCTTTTAGCGTCTCCCTCTTGCACACGCCTGCAAGCCAGAGTTCATCCTTGGGTCTCACCCTGAAATCTGTCTCCCTCCAGCCTATGAAGTTCCCCAAGGGATCTGATTTTCTCTCTGCCTGGAGCAGAGGGTCTGCACAGAGGTCTCAGTGAATGTCTGCTAAGTGAGTGGATAAGGGAATGAATGGATGAATGAGCAGGAACAGCATGGTGGGAGAGGGAGCCGGGTGGGGGAGGGAGCATGAGGACCCAAAGATCAAGCTGCAGATACAGGGGATGGCTTGGGTTTGGGGTGGCGTGAAGAGGAGGGGCACAACTGGAGAGTCTGCGGCTAAGGGGGTAGGTAGGAGGGGGTTGGCTGAGGGCTGGGGTGGGGTAAGAATGACTAGAAGAAAAGGGTCAGGCAGAGGCTGGAGCCGGTGGGGGTGGGGCTCAAGAACGAGACAGGGGCTGGGGGGAGCAGGTGGGGGCCAGCCCGGGGTGGAGGTTGGGAGGCGGACGCCGAGGAGGGCTTTGGGGTTGGGGTGGGGGCGGGGGAGGGACCCAGGGAGCTTGCGAGGGGCCACTTGGGGGCGGCAGGTGCTTCCCGGACCAGCCCCCCTGCTCCCAAGCCCAGTTTTCGGCCGCTGTCACCCCCGAGCAGGGCGTGGAAGGGGCCGCGCGCCGAGGGGGCGGGGCCGAGCCCGGGGCTCCGGCCCGAGACCGGGGGAGCGGGACGGACCCGACGAGGGGTGAGGGGCGGCGCAGGCCGCGGGCTCGGGCGGGGCCGGGGGCGGAGCGCGCGGGGCGGGGCCGCGCGCGGACAGACTGACACGCGGACGGACTGACGGCCGCGTGGGCCCCTCACCACCATGGTCGCGTAGCCTTCTCAGGCGCCGGCCGAGCACGACCCCCAGCTCGTCGTCCTCGTCGCCGCCGCCGCCGCCGCCATGGCGACACAAAGGGGAGGGCGCGAGCCGCGCGCGGGCGCCTGCAGGCCCCGCCCCTAACGGCTGCCCGTGGCTCTGGCGCGCGCCTCACGGGGGCGGGGGCAGGAGGAACGCGGCGCCGCTTCTCATTGGCTCTACCCTTGGTGGGGATGACGCCCCGCCCACCAGGCCGATTTTCATTGGCTTCGGCTGCGGTCCCATCCCGGGCTCAGGCTCTTCGGCCCCGCCCCGCCAAGTTTGACAGCGCCACGCCCATGGCTGTTTTTCATTGGCTGTCATTCTCCTCCCGAGACACACCCCCGGTTCTTTATGCTCTCTCCACACACTGATGCTACCCCTTGGTCCACTCGCAGTGACCGCTCCTCTGACATTCTTAATTGGATTCTTCCATGGCTTGAGGGCTTTTCTCCAGCCTCTAGCAGCTTTTCAGTCTCTGTCTTGTAGCTCCACGTTGTCCGTCCTGACCCTGCCCACCAAATATGGAGGGCATTGCCCACGAATGCTGTTCATTGACTCAGATACCCTGTCTGGGACACAGCCCGAGGGACACTTCGACATGGCCGCTCCCCACTTACTGGACATTTTAGCCAACCTCCAATCTTTTTTTTTTTAAAGATTTATTTATTTATGCATACAAGAGCTGGGGTACAGGCCAGAGATGCGGGGGGTGAGAGGATTCACCAGAGACAGAGCAGGGAACAGAACAGGCAGACTGACTGAAATATACTGCTGAGGGGAGCAGTGGGCAAGACAGGAGGGGTCTGCCATGCCATGTGGGTTGCTCTGCGGCCGGCCGGGGATGGAACTCATGCTGCAAAGGCTGTAGATTGCTTCATAGTGCAGTGCTTAACCCCTTGCACCACAAGAGAGACCCCCAACTTCCAATCTTGACTCCTTTTAACTAGGGATAGATTTAGAACACAGGCCAGAACAAGGCCATGCCTCCTATAGACGCAATCCCAGAAAACAACAATGCCCTTTCCAAGAGGATTTTCCCATCAGTCATGCCCCCAACAAGGACCTCATCCCTCTGCCTGTTCTGTGCCCCACTCTGTCTCTGGTGAATCCTCTCACCCCCTGCATCTCTGGCCTGTACCCCAGCTCTTGTATGCATAAATAAATAAATCTTTAAAAAAAAAAAAGACAATGCAGTTTCCTTGTTGTCTACTGGAATGACTATTTCTACCACCTCAAGGCATCATGGGAATAGTGTGACTATGCTGAGGCAGCCATGGCCTGAGGAAGCCCAAGTCACATGGAGAGACCATGTATAGGCACTACCATCTGCAATTCCAGCACAGCCCAGCCTGGAAGTCAACTGAGCCCGGTGCCATACCTGTGAGTGAAGACGCTCCAGTTGTCTGGTCATTTCGGTCTTCTCAGTTGAACCCCTAGATATCATGGAGCAGAGACAAATGGTCCTCAATTGTGCCTCGTCCAAATTTCTGATTCACAGAATCTATGAGCATAATACGGTTGTTTCATGCCACTAAATTTTGGGGGTGACTCATAAGCCTGCTCTGAGTAGGATGGCCCTTTGCCAACTCCTTGATTCCTACTTGTCTCAGCTTACAAGTGACTTCCTTAGGAATCCTTCTAGGTCCCTCACCCTCAACTGATCCAATTCTGCTACTATAAACATCTTATTTCTCCTTATATCTACATTTCTTATTGATTTCATTGAAATGTATGGTTTGTTCAAAGACTGTTGAATGCACATACTATTGTCTGTGACAAACAGAAGCTGCTTTTAGTAGAAATCTACCCTATTCCCCTCCTTTTAAAAAATACAGACATCAAAGTCATCTTGATCATATATTTTCCAGCCTTTTATGATGAAAAGTTTTAAACATACAACAAAGTTGAAAAGTTTTATAGTGGTCACTCAAAGCCCCATCATTTAGATTCTACCATTAACATTTTATTGTGTTGGCTTCCTCACGTCTATTATTAACACATCTATTAATTATCACATCTATTTATTACTGCTCTATTAACCCATTAACCTAATTAATTTTTGGATGTATTTCAAAATAAATGAGACTTTGGTATATTGTTCTGAAAACCCTTCAGATAATGTCTTTAGGGTTTTTTTTTTAGGTAAATTTTATGTACAATGAATTCATAAATTCCACTGAATTTTGACAACTGCACACACCTATGCAACCAAACTCCTGCTCAGAATGGCAACTGGACTTTTTATCTGGAGAGAACCCGTGGAAATTGTGTCAGAGAAACAGACAAAAATTGTATCCTTTTTTCTAATACAGTTTAAAAAGAGCCTATTTCTCCATTGTTTAGGAAGTTACAAAGTTCTCAGTTTCATGGAGGAGCATAGACAACTTTTCGTTGGGAAGTGTGTCAAGGAATTTTCTGACAAAACAAGAGACTTCTCCATGCTCTAGACAGGTGATGATAGCCTAGACTGAGGGGGGCCGTGAAGGGGGAGGATTTATATTCTGAATCAATGTTAAAGGTGGAGATGACAGGACTTCTTAGCCAACTGACCATGGACATGAGGGAAAGAGAGCAGTCAGGGATGATGACCAGGTTTTTGGCCTGAGAGGTTAGGATGGTGCTGAGCAAAGTCGAGAAGGAACACGTTTAGGGGGAAGATTGGAAGCTCAGTTTAAGACACTGGAGTTTGACCTTTGGGTGGAGATGGTGAGCAGGTAGCGGACTATAGGAGCATGAGGGTGAGTGGGCAGGTCTGAGCTGAAGATAGAAATTTGGGGGCTATCAGAATTAGAAACAGGGCTTAGAACCATGAACTCCATGACAGCACTTGGGAAGGAATATAGACAGAAGGCCAGGACTCTGGGACACAACAAAGTGGCAGGTTGGGCCACACCAGAGAGGGTAGCACAGGGGTGGGTGCTGGGCGCCAGGGAAGGAAATGCTTCAGGGAGGGAAGGAGCAGTGCTGGCTCACAGGGAAAGGCAAACTAATCACTGTCTAGTACTCTGGAGACCCTATCGGCTCTGTTCAGAAGCCAGTCCCTTTGGCTTCCTCTGAGACAAGATACACTGCTGCGTTGAGTCAGGTAAGGTGAATCCAAGTCTTGTGCGGATCCCCTCCCCACCCTTGGCTTTTCCAGAACCACCTCTTTCTCAGAGACCACTAGTAACCTGAAAAACACATCTCATTGGGATTAAAGAAAAAGCGTTCTACCGGGATAAAGCATTTGTACAATTCAAAGTTGTCTGGCCTCTCGGAAGTCTCCTTCCCTCTGAAGTCGCATCCTTGAGGATCTGGGGGTCGACCTGGCTGAAGGAGACCACGACCCCGGATCTTCGGTATGTTCCAGCAGGCGGGATAACTGGGCATCCACTTTCCTGGAAAAAGGGGGTGGGGGGAGGGAACAGGAAGGCAGATGTTGAAACATGTGCTCAGGATTGGGATCTGGGGTTGCGGGCAGTTCTGGAAAAGGGGCTCGGGAGGGAGAGGCACCCAGCGTGGGTCGTGGGTCGCAGAGGACTTAGGGGCCGGGAGTCACGGATGCAGGTGACGGTCACCTTTTCTGCCGCCGCAGCTCCGCCCTCTGAAGCCTTAGCACCTGCAGTACAGGGTCGTCCTGGAACTCGCTGCCATCAGAATCTGGAGGGAAAAGGTGCGAGTTCAGGGTCCGATTCACAGGTACTGAGCCGTCACCCAGGTGGCGGCAGCCGAGCGCACCGGGCTCACCTTCAGCAGCCGCCAGGAGTCGGGCGGCCTGGGCGAGGAGCTCCTCGGAGGGGGCGTGGCCGGCAGCCGGCGGGGGCGTGGCCACGGCCGCGGGCGGCCCAACCCGGGCCGGAGGGGGCGGGCCTCGGCGCCGGAGGACGCGTCCTCCGCCGGAGGGGGCGGGACCTGGGGGGGGCGGGACCCGGCTCGCACGGTGCCTTTGTCTTTTGCAAGCCCCAGCCCAGCGGAGGGGGGCGTGGCCTTGGCGATCCGAGACTCGGCCTTAGACGACCCTGGCGGGGTCTCTGCAGGCCGCAACCGTGATTCGGACAGCGGGGGCGTAACCTTAGGCTGGGTGTGTGTGGCCTTGACTTTCGCAGATTCGGACTCGGGTGGAGGCGGGACCTCGAGGAGCGGGGGCGTGTCCTCCAGGCTGTCCGGGAACAGCCGAGCGGTCACTACCTGGCCCAGGGCGCCTCTGAGCTGTGGGCCAGGCCCCTCCTCAGCTGCCAGGACTTGACCAGCAGGCTCCTGGCAGTGCGGAGGAGTTCTGCTCTTCTGGGGTTTGGGGCCCTGCCTCCTCAGCAGGGAGGGGCTGCTTGGTGCTGGGGTGGGGTGACCCTGGGGGATGACGGGGGGAACTGGAGTGGAGACGGGCATAGAAGTGGGGGCCAGAGGTACAGGAGTGTTGCCCGGGGGCGCAGAAGCTAAGGTTGGGGGCGTGGGAGGAACGGCCCCCAGAGATACCCAGGGACTGTACTGCGGGGCCCAGAAGACTCCATGAGGGCTGGGGCCCCAAAACATATGTGGTGTGAATCCTGGAGGAATAGGAGGGGGACCAGGAGGGGGACCAGAATGGGCCACATTGTCCCAAAGGGGGACACTGTTAGGCTGGGTTCCCATGGAACCAAGGGTCTCCACAGGGGCAGGAGAAGTCTGCAAAGTGATGGGGACAGAAACCTGAAAGGGAGAGAAAAGGTAGGTGGTCCTCAGTGCCCCTCTGGCTCCCCCTCCCTCCAGGCTTCCCATTCCAGCCCTTGCAGGCTCCTCCCCCCCCCCATCTCACTGGAGTGTGGCGGGTAGGGTTCCTAGGCAGCACCCAGGTTCCATCCCCCTGGCCTCTTTCTGGAGCCTGTTCAAGTTTCTGGGCCTGTTCAAGCTTCCTCCGCTGCCGCCACTGGTATAAAATATCATCCTCTGGCCTCAGAGGTGCTCCGGTGGAGGCCGGGGTAGGAACAGGTATGGGGTCCACTGCTGAGGTTGCTGTGGGGTAAGTACAGGTAAGAGGGGTGGGTAAGAGAGGGGCCAGGGTGGGCTTTTTTGCACCCTGCTGACACTCCTGCAGCTTCCCCCCTTCTCCATTTCAGCTCCCCCTGCCACCTCCCAGTGTTCCTCAACCCGTACGCCAAGAGCAACCCAAAGACAGTCTGTGCACACACCCCTGCAAATGTACCAGAAGGTTATTCAGACAGGTTTCTCCAGATGTCTTAACTCATCTCTGGAGTTGAAGTGGGGAAAGGCCACGATCAAAGGAGATAGCACTCATGGGCTTCTCAACTGTCATTCAAGGCTTCATTCATCAACAAATATTTATTGAGCTCTTACTACACGTGAGGCACAGTTCTAGATGTGGTTACAGCAGAGAACAAGACAGACCTTCCAGCGTCTGCCTTCTCCCCGCTTCACTGCCTCACCTGGGTCCAGCTGCACAGCTGCTTCCTCTCTGGTTGCCTTACTCACCTCTTCCCCCAGCCTGTTCCCACCTCTAGCCAGGGAAGCCCTGAATCAGATCAGACCTTTCCGATCTGATTTACTGGTATGGCTTTTGCATGGCCGGTAAAGTGCAAAAGCCTTTGTACTTGTGGTTCCCTCTGCCTAGAATGTTCTTTCCTCATGTGTCCACTGGGTTCACTCACTCAAATCTTTGAGATCTTTGTATTATTTTTTGTGAGCTCTTCCTGGGCTACCCTACTCAAAACTGCAACAACCTCTGGCCCTGTGCTCCTTGCTATTTTTCTCCTTCTCACTTAACAACTTCTAACACCCTAAGGATTGTATTTCTCTACTTACTAATGTTCGTCTCTAATGTACTGCTCCTCCAACTAATATTCGTAATTCAGGCTACATGAGGGCAGTGATTTTGCTGTTTTGTCCAATACCATATCCCCAGTGTGAAGAGCAGGGCCTGGTGTGACCAGTATTTAGGCCATAAATGGCCTAAATGCAAAACATATTGTTTAATGGCCAGCCCTGGGCTGGGGCTACAGCAGTGACTAACGACAGGGTTGCCAACTGTCCTCAGTCCCGTGGGGCAAACAGACACCATTCCTACCATCCAGAGCATCATTTCATCTGTCATGATCAGTAAGGCCACCGTTATCTTCAGAAGTCTTACCACCTGATACTGTACGGGGTGGGCGGGGGGGAGTTCCCGATCTTTCCCTCTTCCTCCCCCATTCTACATTCTGTGATTCTATTTCCAAATTCTGCCACTTCCTTCTACTCCACTCCTCTGGCTCCCCAAAACTGAAAAGATAGGGCCTCCCCGGTGGCGCAGCGGTTGAGCGCTGGGTTGCGAAGCTGCCCGCAGCCTCTGCAGCGCTGGTTCGATCCCTGGCTGCTCCCCGGCCACCGGAGGAGGGTCCCATATGGCGCGCAGACCTCTCCTGCCGCCCGCTGCTCCCCTCAGTAGTGTGCTTCGGTCCTTCTGCCTGCTCTGCTCCCCGCTCTGGCTCTGGTGAATTCTCTCACCCTCCTGCGTTTCTGACTGTACCCAGTGCTTGTATGTATGTATAAATATATAAATAAATAAATAAATAAAAAATGAAAAGATAATGACCAAATGCCTCACTTTACTCATATGGCCTACTGTAATCTGACCCCTGCCAGTCTCTTCCTCCTTATCCCATGCCACCCTCACGCCAGGCTCTTGCCTCTTCTAGCCCATTGTCTGTCTAGTCCTTCCACCTCATGTCCTATATACCTGGTACACAGGACATAGGACACTGTCCCCATCTTCATTATTCAGGTCTCCACTAAACAGCACCTCTTCCAAAAAGGCCTCTGACTTCCCAGCTCCAGAATCTTCTTCTGCCTGGCCCTTATTTCTGCTTACATTTCACATCTGTTTTGGGGGTGATGGAGTTATTCTCTGTCCACACTCACTATGCTGTGAGGACCTTGAAGAAGGGACCAGGTATGGGTAGCTCACTATGGAACCCCAAATCCCCCTCACAGGGCCTCATAAACAGTAGATACTATTTGTTAGATGAATGAATAAATTTAATCTAATAAATAATTGATGAATCATTTTATAGATGAGAAAACAGGTGAATAAAAGGTGAAATCAGAGGAGTTTAGATTCAGACATGTGAGTGGTTGGCATGACACCGAAAAGGATCAAACAGTTCTGGAGACACAGAGGGCCTCTCCTGCACCCCAGGATCTGAGCAGAGTAACGGTAATAATGACAGTAATAGTCCTTAATCCGGTCTCTGAAACTTGAAGACCAGAAATCTGAGTTTCATCAAGCTGCCTGGTGTATAAAGCAGGCAGAGAATGCGGTACACTGCACATGGTTGAACAACATGAAATTGCCACATTCAACCAGTTTGTACTTATAAAGACAAAAATTTCATATTGTTTGGTGTCATATGTCCAGAGCAAAAAATACAGCTATTTACTCTAAATGAGATTATAAATAGTTTTCATATTCTTTAGGCCAGATTTTGCTGTCAACTCAGGTGTGGTGCCAAATTTGCAAAAAGCCTTCTCATTTTGGAGTTTCGTGCTCAGAATTACAGAGAGGATGCAGACAGGGAACCTGTCAGGCTAATGACAGCCACGGTTAACAAGTGCTCCATGCATTCACCAACTCCCAGAATCCTCACACGCCCTAGGAGGGGAGTACAATTTTTATCCCCATTTTAAAGTTAGGGAGACAAGGTCCAGAGAGGTCCAAGGCCACAGAGCAGAATGCACCCAATCCTTGCCTTCCAGAACTTACCAGGTACCCTGGGGTCATAGTCCTTGCTGGAGTCAGGGGTGAAGGTCATGGTAGAGGGAGAGAGGCCATCAGAGCTGGTGGGCAATGAGGAGGTGCTGGCATCACTGGGGCTGAGGGAGGAGGAGGTGGAGGCCTTGCTGCAGGGAGAGGACAAAAGTGAGGCCATGGGGGTCTCGGAGACAGGGGTGCAGGCCTGAAGCTACAGGAGTGGGGAGGATGAGGGGGGTGGGGGAGGCACCTGCGTTTGAGCAGTCTGGCAGCTCTGCTTTGCAGGCTCAGTGTCTCCAGGTCCAGCAGAGGGGAGTTCCATGTGTAGAGGTTCTGCAGGGGAAGAGGGGTTAGAGGCCAGATCCCATCGCAAAGACTGCTGGGAAAGGGGCTCAGGACATAGGGCCTGAAGGACAAGTCTGTACTCCACCTGGTACCCTCACATGCTGGCTTCAGGTCTGTTCCTCCCCCTCAGGGAAGAGAGACCCAGTTTCCACAGGTGGATCCACACACGCCACAATGTAATCACTACTGCTGCTGCAGAGATTGACACTACCTTCCTGATCAGGTCTAGGTAATCACAACATTCTGTCCTCTGGCTCACAGTGATTACCTCAAGAATGAAAGTAAGCCCTTGGGCATTAGATAGAACTACTAGAAAAACTTCCTCTTACCCCAGCAATTACTAAGTTGGAAGCTACCTAGCTATTCTGAGGGGAAAATCTGGCCGAGACCGAGCCCAACAAAGAACAGAGAGCCAAGAGATTTAGGTCCCTACCAACACTTCAAACACATGGATCCAGCCATACCTGAAAACATCTGCTTTTAGATTTCTTAATTATATTATATAGCTAATATTTGCTTCCCTTTTGTTTACGCTTCCCTTTCCTTGAATTGGGGAGTCTCTGATTCTATCATAGAGTGGGTGTCAATTCAGGCACAGAGGAGGGAAATGATGGCAATGTTACCTGCTTTATTTCCTGAAGGGGGGCCATAGCCTTAACCTGAGATGCACTGGTCATCTTGGCAAGAGTCGGGACAGCTGTATTGGATCTTCCTTCTGGTTCACTGGCTCCTGCTGAGAAGTTCTAATTGAATTGGGGGGCCAGGAATGGGAGTAGCAGCTGGAGGTTGGGAGTGGATGTGACTAAAGCAGATACCTGATGCAAGTGGACTGCTGAGGTCTGGAGATTCAGGATGAAGCCACCAAAAGTCAGCTGGGGTTGGGCCTGGAGGCTGCCGTTCCTCTCGGCTTGTTGGCTGAGCCTGGCGGAATCTGTTTATGTACCTGCGAATGTCAAGGAATGGGAAGTGGGTGGGAGGAGGGCCAAACGAGAACAATCATGATCACAATCGCCAGTGTTTATCATATACCATAGCAGCAGTGGGCAGCTGTCTCAACTGCTGTTCTTTCATACGTAGTAATGCAATTTTTAGCTGGGCACACAGCCACTCTTCTACAGGTACCTCTGCCAAGTGCCCTTCTAACCTTATGGCTCATGTAACTAGGTTCTTGATCAATAGGCGGCGTAATTCTTTCTGGGAAGTGAATGTGGTTGGGAGCCATTCTGCTCCATAAAGAAAAGGCCAACAGCCTTAGGAGGGGAGAGCCAAGAGAAAAGGAAACTCTGTCTTTGATACATCGAGTGCTGTGTCTGTCCTGGCTGCTTCTGCCTGGACTGTTGTCCAGGAAAAATAAATGCTATCTTGCTTAAGTCACAATTAATTTGGGACTGTTAGCTAGAGCAGCTGAACTTGTATCCTACAATTCCAAGGACTCACTATGTGATGGGCAGTGTTAGAGATGCTTACAGACAACTAACTCAATGAAAACTTAATATAGTCCTAGAGGGTATGTACTATTAATAGCCCCAACTTATGGGTGAAGAACCTGAGACTGATTGTACCCCTATGTTTATTGCAGCACTATTTACAATAGGTAAAACCTGGAAACAACCCAAATGCCCAAAATTGGATGACTGGATCAAGAAGATGTGGTACATATACACAAAGGAATATATTGTGTATATCTTTTTTGCAATCAAAAAAGATAAACCCATGCCATTTGCAGCAACGTGGATGGAGCTAGAAGGAATTGTGCTCAGTGAAATGAGCCAGAAGGAAAAAGAAAATATCGGATGGTTTCACTTATAGCAGGAATATAGGGGAACCAAATAAGACATCAGTGTTCAAAAATAATAACAGTACAAAACACAACAAAGCAAAAACAGACAATTATAAACCAGAGACATAGTGCAGGGGAGGAGGAGGAAGAGGGATCAGAGGGAGCGAGGGAGGAGCACAGGGGACTGAGGTGATGGTGCACAGGTGCCTTGGTGAGGGAAATTCTATGGGAACTACACCTGAGGGGTGTAGTGGGGGAAGCAAATATTGTTTAAAAATGAACAATGATGTAAAAATTTTAAAAAAAATTAAAAAGGAAAAAAAAAAGAATCAGACTAAAAGGGAAAAAAAAAAAAAAGAAACTGAACCTTTCTTCATATAGAAAGTAAGGACTAAGCTGGGATTTGAATCCAGGCAGTCTTGCTCCAGAGCCCTCAGTAACACCAGTGTGGTCCCGAAAGAGAGTGCTGCACACACAGCTCTGGCAGTGATGATTATTATTGGACGCCTACCTCCTCCCCACCCAACCCAAATATTTCTGTCCCCCCAGGGCTTTGAGTACTTACTTGGCCACCACAGAATCCCCACTGTCAATCAGGGTGGGTGATGGGGAGCCTCCCATCTGTCCCTCAGTGGTGCTGGGTGGGGAAGAGGTCCCTGAACTGGATGGCCAGGACTCCTCAAACAGCTCAGAGGAGTTAGGACGTGTAGGGGAGTTGGGACCAGTGGCAGGAGCCTCGGGAGCTGCTGGGAGTCTGGATCTCTGGTTCCTGGATGGGCTCGGCTTCTGAGATAGGGAAAGTGGGAAGAAGAAAAAGTGAGACCTGAGGTACCAGGCCTGTAAGAGAAGAAAGACACACATGAAATCTCAGTCCAGAGGAGAGGAAATACTTGCTGCAATGGTAACAACTCAGAGAGGGCTGTGATGGGGGAGCCAGGTGGCAGAAGACTGGGTAAGGATAGGTTGTGGAAAGGGACTGTTTCTTAGTCGCTCACCCTCATTTCTATCACGTCTTCCTTCCCTCTAGTGACCACTCCCTTGCCATTGGGCTGGCACACACTGGTGGGTGTCTTCATCTTGGGGTGCCAGGTCTGGCTTCTCGATGGCCAGTAGTGACTTTGTTTCAAGGGAGCATCCCCAAAGGGGCTGTCCTGGGTGGAGAAAAGTGGAAGGCTGCAAGGGGAGAGTGAGGTTGGCAGACTGGCAGGTGCAGGGCACAATCACCACAATCCTGTCTGTGTGTGTGTTGGGGCAGGGTGGGGGCTGAAGTTGGGGGGGTAATAGGAAGAGTTGGACCGAACCAGACCACAATTTCCATGGATTGCTGGGAGATAGACTATAATACCATGCAGTACGGCTGCACACTCAAGATAAGATACGGGAACCTGGTGCAAGGGGTTGAGCACCACACTATGAAGCAATTTGCAGTCTCTGCAGCACGAGTTCGATCCCCGGCCGGCCAGGGAGCAACCCATAGGGCACAGCAGACCTCTCCAGCCTCGCCCACTGCTCCCCTCAGCAGTGTATTTCAGTCAGTCTGCCTGTTCTGCTCCCCACTCTGTCTCTGGTGAATCCTGTTAACCCGGCACCTCTGGCCTCAGCTTTTGTATGCATAAATAAATAAATCTTTAAAAAAATAAAAAGATACGGGAATCACGATTACCACCGGCTCTTGAAGCAGTCTCAGGAGAACCCAGGAACTGCTAGCCGTCTTCACCCCAAACCAAGTGGGGTCAGGCACCTCTCTGTCCCCGCAGCCCCATGGTTACGGACCCCGTCACTGTGCATTTCCCCTAAGTGTTGGGAACACTAAGAAGAAAAGGGTACCTCGACTACCATCTCCATCAATGTCTGAGCTCCGCTTAAGGGAAAAAGTTACAAAACAACACCTATGGGAATCTGGGGAAAATTTTAAAATGAAGATACTAAATCCCCAAGATGCCCCTGGAAGGAGACAGAAGAGAGAACAGAAAAGAGGGAAAGCGCTGGGGTCGCTCGGAGGAACCTGAGGCGCCAAGGGATGCGGGGGATTCGGTCCGAGACTCAAGCGGCCCGAGGCCGTGGAGCATCTTGGGAGTTGTAGTTCCAGTGCGGTTACGCGCCAGACACTCCGGACCCCCGCAAACCTGCCCCCAGCAAGTGTGGCTCTCACTCTGGGGTCCTCCCTAGGCCTCTTTTCGTGCCTAAAAGCGGGGCCCGCCTCACCTGCGGTCCATCTCGCAGCCACCTCCGCGCTTCCGCCCGCTCGGCTCGGGGGTGGGGCGGGCTCCACGCGCATCCCGGTCGCCTAGCAGTGCCCAGCAGCCCCGCCCCTCCCGGGAGAGGCCGCGCGGGAAGAGAGCGGGCCTGCGAGGCGACCAATGATAGAGAGGGAAAGAAAACTCATTAGAAAGTGACCAAAGGGAGGTGCCTCGCAATTGGCTGCAACGTCGGCCTGACTGAGAGAGCGTGTTTGATTGGAGCACCGTGGCGCGCCTCAGTAATTGTCAAGCCCGAGGGCCAATGCAGGGGCCCGAGGCCGCGCTCGCGGCTAGGAGGGGCGCTAAGAGTCCGCCGGGTTTCCTGCCGTCGTGGCATCTCACCACTCCCCCTCTCGCTGCAGAAATCGCCTCCAGGCTCCGGTCCGCCTACCGTCTCCCCCGTTGCAGGAGCACGCAGGGAGCCTGTCCTCTCTAGCCACTGTCCCCGCATCCACCGGCCGGGCCAGCGGGTCCCGCCCCGTCCTCTGGCCGCCTCCGTCCCGCTGCAAGAGCAGCTGGTGGCGCCAAGTGCCAGGCCCGGGCTCCTGGCCCAGGTGGTGGGATCAAAATGAGCTATTTCGGGCCCCAGCTAGGGGCCCCCGGGGGGCCAGCCTGGACTGTGCGTGCCCACGCCCCTGGCCGCTGCTCACCTGGCAGGCACCGCTGCCCTGCGCACCCGCGGCTGAGTCAGAGGCACAGAATTAGGCTGGGCTTGCTGGGGGCTGGGCCCGGCCAGGCGGGATGAGCCCGGGAGTAGCGTCTGTTCTGTGTCCTTCTGACAGCCTGGCCCCGCTGCCACATTCCCGTTCCCGGGAATCTGCTCCTAAAACGGTCATCTGCGTCATCCCCAGAGCCACCTGCGGGGCGGGGTGCATTGAAGGACCTGGAAACTCGGCAGTGGGTTTTTCAAGCTCTGGGTCCCCAACGCCGTGCTGCGATCCTACCCCAGCAAGGCTCCGCCCCCTCAGCCTTAGTTTCCCCTTCAGGAAACTGGGGGGTCTTAATGACACCTCTCTGGCATCCAGCAGGCGCTTAATAAACGGCTAAGTCATTGTCGGGCTTTCTAAATAAGGCTCTATTAATGGCCGAGGCTGGCGGTGGTCCCAGTGTCCCCGGGCGGCCCGCCGAGGGGCGGACACAGGGCGTGCTATAAAGGGGCGGCGGCGCAAGCGGGGGCACTGCGGAGCCTCGGGGCGGCGGCGGCGGAGCAGGATGGAGATCCCGGTTCCTGTGCAGCCGTCCTGGCTGCGCCGCGCCTCGGCCCCCCTGCCCGGACGCCTCTTCGACCAGCGCTTCGGCGAGGGGCTGCTGGAGGCTGAGCTGGCCACGCTGTGCCCCGCCGCGCTGGCCCCCTACTACCTGCGAGCCCCCAGCGTGGCGCTGCCCACCGCCCAGGTGCCAGGCCTGGGGGAGGGGCGGCAACCCGACCTCCTCCGGGACCCGGGGTCTTACTCTTTCTGAGGGGGCTGCGGGAACATCCCCGGGCAGAGCTGGGGGAAGAGTGGGCTCTTCGGAGGGGGCTCCGGAATCTCGGAGACCATTGACTGAAGGGGGTGGGGGACCCCTGCGCATCTGAGGAGGGTCTCGGCTCTCCGGGCGCTGAGTGGGGGTGGGGTGCGGGTGGGGGACGTTGCTCTGAGAGGAGTCTTGGTGACTCCGAAAAAGTAGGCTACAGAGCCAGGGGATCCGGGGGCAGAGGGCCCCAGCGGTCCCGAGGGGAGGGCGTGTTCTGTTACTCTTGGAGAAGAGCTTGGAGACTGTGCGGTGACTGTTTCCTGGAGAGGTAGAGGGGAGCCAGGGGCCTGCGCCCTGTGAAAGGGGGCCCTGGCCCCTCGGAGCAGCGGGGGGAGGAGAGCTGGTGAGCGGCCGAGGACGCAGGCGGTCGCGTGACGCGAGTGGGAGGGTGGAGAGCGGGCTCTGGAGACCGGGGGGAAGCAGCATCTTGGCGACTTCTGTCAGGGGGCCCCCGGGCTCGGAGGGTGAGGGGGCGGGGCCCGGGGCTTGGAGGGTAAGGGGCGGGGAGCGAGTGTCCGTGGGGACAGCTGACTCTGCAGTCGTGGACACGCCTCGCCCAATGAGGGGGGAGGCCCCCGACCTTTCAGGGGAAGCGGGCCTCATCCCTTTGGCAGCGAGGGGACTCCCAGCAATTACAGGGGGAGGGGCGATCGCAGCTATTCCGGGCTGAGAGGTCCTTGGGGGCTCCGAATGAAAAAGGGGCCTCCTTGATTCGGGAGGCCAGGGTCCGCGGCGGGACGGAACTGACGGTGGGGGGGGGGGCCTCGCGGGGTCCCAGGAGCATCGCCCCGCCCGATGACAACCGGCCTGTGCGCAGGTGCCAACCGACCCCAGCCATTTCTCGGTGCTGCTGGACGTGAAGCACTTCTCCCCGGAGGAAATCGCCGTCAAGGTGGTTGGCGAACACGTGGAGGTGCATGCGCGCCACGAGGAGCGCCCGGTGAGCCCGCCGGCGGGGCGGGGCGGGGCCTCCGCGGGAGGGGCGGGGCCTCCGCGGGGCGGGGCGGGGCCTCCGCGGGGCGGGGCGGGGCCGCTCAAGCCTCTCTCCCCGCAGGACGAGCACGGGTACGTCGCGCGCGAGTTCCACCGCCGCTACCGCCTGCCCCCGGGCGTGGACCCCGCAGCAGTGACGTCCGCGCTGTCTCCCGAGGGCGTCCTGTCCATCCAGGCCGCGCCGGCGCCGGCCCAGGCGCCACTGCCGCCGCCACCACCGGCCGCGGCCAAGTAGGGGTCTGGGCACGCCTGAACCCCGGGAGTCTCTACCGGCTCCCTCTTTTAATGCCGACCTGACTCCGCCCAGCCAGATGCCCCGAGCGCGCAAGACCACCCTCCCACCCAACCTGGAACCCTGCCCTGACCCTAGCCTCCACTCAGTCCTGATAACCTAGACCTTTCCACCGACACCCCCTGCTCTCACAACCCCTCCTGCTTTCAAGGCACCCGGCCTCCACCTCCCTGGCTTCCAGACCTTACAAGCACAGCTGCTCAGCCTCCATCTCCCTCACATCCCCACTGACCTCACTTTCTTGGCATATCTCGAGACTCCCTCATCTGTTTCCTTCTGACTCCTCCAAGAAAAAATATTCACACCCCATTTCGAGCCACTCCTCCCTCTGACACCAGAGTATAGTGTAGACAGCACGGACCCCAAACCAGTCAAGCATTTCCTCCTCCCCTCAAATGTCCCAGGTCTCCCACCCAAGACCATCCAGGTCTGTTCCCCTGGATCCTGCCCCTTATTCCAAACAGACACTCCACTTCAACCCTTCCCGTCTCTGACTTGAAATTCCAGCCAGCCACCCCTAAACTCTCGAGCCCCTTCTTTGATCCCCACCCTTGTGTACCTCTGTACAACCAGAGCTCTCAAGTTCAAACTAGACACATACCACCCCATTTCCTGAGAATGCAGATGTCATATATCCCCCCAGCCTCAACTAACCAGACACCAGTCACTACGTCTTGACCCCCGAGTCTCCAAACATGTCCTAGGCAACCCACCTCTAATATTCCTCCCACCTTATTCTCAAAGCCCCAACCAAAGAGCCCACCTTTCTTTCTCCTTGAGTTCCCTGTGGTCCCATCTCCCCACTGCTACCGAGGCCCACTCCCCCAATAAATGTGCTAAAGCTATGTCAACTGCTCTCTGTCTGGGCTGGGCAGAATGGGCTGGAGCAAGCAGAGGCTGGTGTGGAGAAGGGGAGTGTTTATTGGGGTGAGGGCTGGGGAACATCACTGTCGCTCATACATTTCCCGTAGAATCTTCATGCTTTCTGAGTAACGAAGCTGGTTCCGATGAGACGCCTCCTTCCACCTGGGGTGGGGAAGCAGAGAGAGGACTTGCAGTTGGGGCCGAGGCCACAGAGGGCCAAGCGGGTAGAGGGGTACTCACCTCTGCCGGATGCGTTTCCAGCGTTGCATGTTGCGGTAGATGAGTGTGGAGGGAGAGGGCTCTGGCTCTGAGGGCTGTGGGGACAAAGGCCAGGCTGGGTGACAGTGCCCAAGACTCACAACTGCCCCACAGCCCTGAGCCAGCCTCCATACCCACCTCATCAGCAGCAGCACCCTGGATCTCAGGCTGCAGCGGGGATGGGATGCGTGGTCTGCAGGCCTCTCCAGGTGGCCCAGGGGCTGAGGGAGGAGGCAGCTTGTACACATCACGATTCTTGGTGTTGGTGACCTCTGACCCCTAGGGACACAAAGGCCCCCCACGGAGACCAAGTGTCAGAGAAGAAGCCCAGGCATATACCTTTCACTCCTGCCTTTCCCAGTGATGACAGACATGGGGTTTCTCACCAGGGACCTGTACTTACGAGTTATGTCTGAAGGGTGGGGCCTTAAACAGCTTGCGGGACAGAACTGCCTGCCCCAGGATCTCTGTCTTCACCTGTCCACCCAGAGGTCCCCATCCACAAGCCCTCAATTATTCCTGCCCTGCCCAAGGGGTGCTCATCTACTCCTGGAGGCCCAGTGGCCACATCTGTTTGTACGAGGGACCTTTGACCTTGGAGGTTCTTTCTCCTTCCTGGACCGGAGAGGCACGCCTGTCTGTTCGAGAGAAATTCATCCATACCCTCAGCCCAATATGTACAGGACACTTCACTATCTGCCGGCCGCACTGGATCTAGAAGTCATTCGAGGGGCACACAGAGCTGTGCCTGTCTACCCCAGTAGCTTGGGGGGACCATCTACCCTTCCAGGCTGTTGGGCGGGGACCCACCAGCCATCCTACCTCCTCATCCTCAGGCAGCGGGGGCAGCGGTGAGCTGGGCGAGCGTTCACACTCGCGCACTGAAGGGCTATTGCGCATCCAGGCGCGGCAGATGGGGTAGAGCGGCGTGTTCTCGCTAAACTGGGCCAGGTCCACGCTCCGGTCAAACAGCTTGATCACATACGTGTCTAGAGAGGCGGGAGAGGGAGAGACGTGGACACCTTGCCCAGACCCTGTCCTGGCCCACCCTCAAGGGCCACGGCCCACTCACTGGATCGCTGTGGCCCTCCCTCAGCCAGTCCATCCTCCATCTCCCTCCTCTTCTTCCTCCGCTGGTGGGGGAAGCGGGCAGAAGGCCTGTGTGGGGAAGGAGAACACTGGGACCAGGGCGGGGGCTGGGGACCCTGTGTCCGTTGGCTGGGGAGCTTGCCACCTTACCGTTTGCCAGTGGCTGCAATGGAACAGTCCCTGCGGGGAGAAACAGGGTGTCAGCAGGCTGAGCTACACTCAGATGCCACTCAAACCCCCCAGAGGACACGCTGGGGATACTGAGTTCAAGTCCGAGAAGCTTACATGGACCCCAGCAGCCCCTGGATGCCACCAGGCTCCTGGGGCTCTAGATGCTAACTATGAGGGGACCTAAGTTATTGCTGCCACAGGGTCTTGTTCCTGCAGAGTATTCAGGACTGCGGTGGAGGGCGGAGTGGTCAGGGCTCAATAAAAGCAGAAGGGCCTCCCCTGGTGGCGCAGCGGTTGAGCACTGGGCTGCGAAGCTGCCCGCAGCCTCTGCAGCGCCAGTTCAATCCAAGGCCACCGGCGAGGGTCCCACATGGTACGCAGACCTCTGCCGCGCCCGCTGCTCCCCTCAGCAGTGTATTTTGTCAAGTCTGCCTGTTCTATTCCCCGCTCTGGCTCTGGTGAATTCTCTCACCCTCCCATGCTTCTGACTGTACCCAGTGCTTGTATAAACAAATAAATAAATCTCATAAATAAATAAATAAATAAAAGCAGAAGTATTTATTTATTTATTTATTTATTTTTGTGGGACCCTCACCGGTGCTGGGGATTGAACTGGCGCTGCAGAGGCTGCGGGCAGCGCTCAACTGCTGCACCACCAGGGGAGGCCCACAGCAGAAGTATTTAGTGCAGACCCCCAGCTGCAGATTCCATCAGCCAAACTTACTTGTTGTGGGTGTCCGAGGGGGTCTTCCCTGCTTCTTCATCCAGACGCTCCCTGGAGCAAAAGAGAGCTGTGGGCTCAGGGTTCCGAGAGCCCAGTGGGGGAAGGCACCTTCCTCCGTAAGCCAGCCCCTGGGGCCCCAACCCCCGGGGCCCCATGCTGGGCCAAGTCCCCACCTGTCCATGTGACTCTTCTCCAGCAGACACTGAAGAACGGCATCCAGTTGGTTCCGGGCCTTGGCCATCTCCAGCTCTGGGGAAGACGGTGACAAGCAGAAGTCAGTTCCCAGGCCCCAGCAGGAGAGCTGGGCTGGGGCATAATTTCTACTATGGTCAGTCCTAAATCCAAGCCCAGGAGTGCTGAGGGCACAGGGGTACAGCAGCCATAAGTGAGAGCTCTGGGTTCCCAGAAGCGCCTATGTGAGCTTGACCTGAGGCAAGTCCCCTCACTTACTTCATTGAGCTTGTTTCCTCACCTTGAATATGGTCTGTTTTGAGGTAGAAATAATCTAAGGGTATAGATTAATCTCTTAGCGGGATGCAATGATATTTGAATAATATGTACAGGACACTTCATTATCTGCCAAGCATTGTTCCAAGCACATCACACATGTTAACTCATTGAATTCTCAATAATCCTTGGAGGTAGATGTACTTTTTTTAAAAAAAAGATTTATTTATTGGGCCTCCCTGGTGGCGCAAGGGGTTAAGACACAACCTATGAAGCTATCTGCAGCCACTGCAGCATGAGTTCAATCCCCGGCCAGGCAGGGAGCTACCCACATGGCGCAGCAGACCTCTCCTGTCTCACCCGCTGCTCCCCTCAGCAGTGTATTTCAGTCAGTCTGCCTGTTCTGCTCCCCACCCTGTCTCTGGTGAATCCTCTCACCCTGCCACCCCCCCCTAACCCCCAGCACCTCTGGCCTGTATCCCAGTTCTTGTATGTATAAATAAGTAAACCTTTAAAAAAAAAAAGATTATAGCAAAGAGCCTTGGGGAGGAGACACGCCCATATCCCTCCCATTAGCCCCTGCCTCTTCCTGAACCTCAGGTCTTGGGAACCCATGGGCTCCAAGACACCTTCTCCTGGGCATCCCCCAGATTCCTTCTATCTTCTGAATTGCACCCTGGCCTCAGTGTCTCTTACGCTAACTTTCTATCAGGCCGCTCCTTGGGTCTTGCTTGTCATGGACACTTCTCCCTCCCTGACAGCCTGTGTGTTTGCCTCTCTTTGTCATGAAACGTGAGTTAATGACGATATAACTATCCCCCTCACCCTTGAGGGGTGTCCCCTCTCCTCTGCCAACTAGTGGGAGTGCTCATCCCCACCCATCAACCCAAGGCCTGTCTACTGGCCTCCTGAGTGTCTTTCCTACCTACCCCTCTCTACTCTGGTCCTTTCTCTTTGACCTGGGCTCTGAGCCTCAGTCTCCCCTTCTGATCCATTCTCCACAAGGTTTCGTCCCAAAACCAAATCTGACCCTGGTCCTCCCCTGTGTAGAATCCTCCATGATCTGCGGTGCTCCCAGGACAATCTGAGCTCCTCAGCCAGGTGTGCACTGGCCTTCATGACACTTCTTACCCTTACCCTCACCCTTACTCCCCTATTTGTAATCAGGCCTCCTTCACTTTTCCACCTGTGACTTTTTTTTGGCATTCGTGGGGCATCTTTATTGATTCATTCCTTGGGTCAGAGCCCTCCTCTGGCTCCCCATCTTCCACAGAATAAAAGTGAAAAGTCCTTACCTAGCCCACAGGATCTGTCCCCCTCCCCTCTCTGTCCCCATCACCTTACCCTCTCGACCTCCCTCACTCTGCTACAGCCACACTGGCCTCCCTGCTGGTCTCTGAACCTAGAGACAAGGCTCCAGGCTCAGGGCCTTTTCAAAGCCAGTCCCTGTGTGATTCCCGATTTCTTCACACATCCTCACCCCTGGTCTTACCTTCTCTGTTCCCTCTCATTCCCACTTATACCATCCAACAAGCTACATCATTTTACTCCGCTGGATTCTGCGCCCCTCCCACCCCTCCAGTCTCGTGTTCCCATCAGTTCTGCCCCAACGCAAAAGGACTTTTTTTCCTCCGGGCTTCAGTTTTCCCAAATACCACAGCTGCTACTTCTCAGGGTTCTTAGGATAGAGTGGCGGCGAGGACTGAAAGTTCCTCAGTACTTCAGGCCCTCAACACAAGGCTTGACTCATCATCACGGCTGGAAATGGGGAGGTTGAGGCGGAGCCCAGAAGAGTCCCTCTCACGGTCCCAAACGGCGTGGGATCCCCATGTCTTACCGCACCGCACAGCCAGAGGCGCCCCCATTGAGCCTCAAAGCTACCTTGAGCACAGGGTGGGAGGGCAGGAAGGTGGCAGGAAGCCCTGACATCGCGGCTGTCAGCTGGGCTGCAGGGAGAAGCCTCGCACTTCCCCTTATCGCGACCATCCTATCTGGATCCCCACACCCATCACTGCTGCTCCCCGACAGGCCCCCAGACGTCGCGGTCCTCACCTGATTTCTCCACTTTCACCTTCACCGGGAACATGGTTTGAGTCTGGGGTGTGGCTAGCCGGGTCAGAGAAGTTCCAAAGAGCCTAGGGTCACGAGTCAAGGCGGAAGGCAGGCAGGGAAAAGTCGGAGGTGAGCTGCCAGCCCCTGCCGGGAGCAGTCCATCCGTGACCAACCTGGCGGCCTTCAGTTTCCCTTCCTTGGGCGGCTCGGCGGTCGCTGCTTCCCATTGGCCACTACACTTGTCGATCTTGCACCCTGACCAATTGACAGTGGCTGCCTTCTACTAGCCCTAAGCCCCACCTTTCAGGGGCGGGGCTTCCGGAAACAAACATCGACACCCCGGGGCTCTTCCTGGGAGGTGTAGTTCTAGCTCCGGAGTCGGCCGGAATAGGCGCGCTTGGGCCGCGCAAGGCACGGTGGGAAACAGAGGGGCACCGCGAGGCTTCTTGGGACTTGTAGTGCCAGAGGCTTCAAGTACCACCTATTGACTATCAAGCTATTGACAGGGTTTCATTAGCCGTACTAGTTCCTTTTGTTTCAGAGCTAAGTCTGGAGTTAGGCTGGGATCCCTCATACTGAACACTTGGCAAAGGCCAGCTAGCTGCCAGTTCATCTCTTTTCAGGCACAGCCATATTCATATAGCAAATATCAGTGTGCCAGACACTCTTCTAGACAGTGGGGACACCACAGTGCACAAGACAAAAAGTCCTTGTCCTAATAAAGCATATCTATTAGCAGATGGAAGATAAACGATGAGCAAGTGAAACATTTAAAAGGAGATGTAATAAGGGTAGGTAGATGTAAAAAGGGTTTTAGGAAGTAGGAAGGTGGTAATGTAAATTTTAAATCTGATGGTTAAACCATCAGCAGGTCGATTGCTGCGGACAAAATCTCCTTCAAAGATTAGGAAGTTTCCACTTATAAAATATGCCTTGGTCCAGATAAATTTTAGGAAGTAACACTGCGATCCACATTTCTGATAATACTGAGGCTGAGTGGGAAACTGTTTTCAAATGCACACACTAGCAGTACAAGATAGCAGCCTCTTGCGCTGGAATTACCATTCCTCTTAGTTCTGCATCAATAGAATAGGTTCCTCAGCTGAAAAGTTCCTGTTTCAGATTATAAGAAGTTTTCAGGGGGCCTCCCCAGTGGCGCAGCAGGTTGAGCACAGCACTGTGAAGCTGTCTGCAGCCTCTGCAGCATGGGTTTGATTCCTGGCCAGCCAGGGAGATTTCCACATGGCGCGGCAGACCTCTCCTGTCTCGCCTGCTGCTCCCCTCAGCAGTGTTTTTGGTCATCTGCCTGTTCTGCTCCCTGCTCTGTCTCTGGTGAATTCTCTCACCCTCCCATGCCTCTGGCCTGTACCCCAGTTCTTTTATAAATAAAAAATAAATCTTAAAAAAAAAGTAAATGTTATCTTTAAAAAAAAAAAGTTTCAGAGGAAGAAAAATACAGACGCGTGACGCATATCTTACACAAAATAAGCATTCAAAAATATTTCTGAGTATTAATACTAATGATTATTTAATGCTTCAATGTCCAAAAGATCCCAAGATGTCTATATATACAGAATAAGAGTCCTTTATTGGTGCATGTCAACAGAGAACAAAGGGATGAGAACAAGTCTTAGGGGCTTGGGAGTGAGCTTAGACTAGCAGAACCCATCCTGGGAGAATGAGCAGCTCCCCAGACCCACGCAGCAGGAGTTGTCAAGGGGTACCCAGGGGTATGGTGAAGGAGAGGTAGTCTCCAAGGGCACCCCAGCGGGGCCGGTAGATCTGGAAGATGGTGATCCAGGTAGTGAGTACAATCACCCAGAAGAGGAAGCCCACAGCAGAGCGCCAGACATCTGCAAGAGAGAACAAGGATGGGGAAGGTGGGCCCCCACCAGCTCTCTGGTCTCTCTCAGACCAGCACTGTCTTTCCACCACAGAGCCCTGGAATTTTGGACCCGCCATCATTCCCTCCCACCAAAGGTCCCCAGTACTCCCTTCCCACACTAGATGGCCTCCCTTTATCTGTGCCCTGGACTCACAGCCTTTGATTTGGCTTTGCTCAGTGTACGCGGGGACAAGGAAGGCCTCTCGGAAGAACCAGAAGATGTTGACCAACCAGAGAAAAGGCAGGAAAGCAAACCCACCTAAAGAGAAAACCAGCAAACCGGAATATAAAGCAATGAAGGCTCACCGCCAGCCCCACCTGAAGTACCTATTTGGAAGGTCCGCTCCCCTACCCAAGTTCAAATGGGAATCTCTGCTCTCAGGGCCTCAGGAATCCGTTTCTTGGACTATTTCTTTCTCAGGACCCAGGAAAACAGCCCTTCCACTCCTCTCCTATTTTGAGATTCAGAAGTTGAGGGCCGGGACTCCCTGGTGGCGGAGGGGTTAAAGACAAGCTACTGCCAGCTACTGCAGCACGAGTTCGATCCCCGGCCAGGGAGCTACTCACACGGCACAGCAGACCTCTCCTGTCTCACCCACTGCTCCCCTCGGCAGTGTATTTCAGTAGATCCACCTGTTCTGCTCCCCACTCTGTCTCTGGTGAATCTGCTCATTTCCCCCCACCCCGCGCACCTCTGGCCTGTACCCCAGTTCTAGTATGCATAAATAAATAAAGCTGAAAAAAAAAAAGAGTTGAGGGCCCAACCTCTTCCTCCTTCAGGAGCCCGCACCCCCAGCCTCTTCATCCCATTGACAGACGAATCCAAGCCCCAAGTCCCCTCTCTTCTCCTGGGCCCCTAGGAGATCACCTCTTACCCAGGTAGTATTTCCGACACAGGTTCAACTTCTCCTCGTTGGACACTCGCTCCAAGTTCATCGTTGCGCCGAGGCTGGGTCGACCCAAGCCTTGATCCTAAATGACAGCTGCGAGGATCGCGAACAACCACACCCCTATCACGACAAAACGGAGACGAACGGAAGGACGGGTTTGCTGAAAGGAGACTACCCCGCTCTCACCAGAAAGCTGTCTGGGCTGAGACGCTCTTTGTTCACTGCGGTGCGCAGCGAGAGCTCCCCTCTCGTCAGCGGAGTCCACTTCCTCCGGCTTGAACGCCTTGGCCACTTTCAACGAGGGGCGTTTGCGCGAGATGCCACCGCAAGGCTCTCTGGAACTTGTAGTCTTCCTGGTGAGGCGCCGGGGCACGCATGCGCCTTCAGGGTCCCCGGCGGGTGAGCACGTGGGGAGGGCGCGGTCCCCCAACACGCAAGCGCACTAGAGAGTTTCTGCGCGCGGGCTGAGCGTGCGGAGGCCGCGAGGAACTACACTTCCCAGTGCTCTTAAGCAACGGAAGTGATGTGTGAGCAGCGAGAGCTGGTCGGCTCGGATAAAAATGGCCGAATATTTAGCTTTGCTCTTCGGGACTGAGAAGGACAAGGGAGAACGGGCGCAGGGAGTGACCCCTCTGGCGGCCGAGTCCGGGGCGCCTGGCTTCCCGGTGTCTGGGCGGCTCGGGGCGGTGTTTCTGGGGCGACCGGCCTCCCCGGCCCCCGGCTCACCTCTGCCTTTGCACCTCTCCCAGGGTTAACTGCTCTTTTTACTTTAAATCGGGGCCTGCCGGCACGGGGACCGGCGCTCCCGGCTCCACAACAAACCAACTTCCAGCCAGGTGAGGCCCGGCCCCCAGCCCGGGGCGGGGGCGGCTAAGCCCTCCCGGCTTTCCCCTTTTGTTGTCCAGAATCACGAAGTCCCGCCTTTTCCGCATCCCGAGGCCCGCCCTAGCCCGGCCTTTTTCTTGTCCGACCCCTGCAGGCTCCTCCCCCAAGGCCCTGCCCGCGGGAACTTGGCCGCGCCCCCGTCGGCACTGCCTGCTCCTCGCTGCCAGGGCTTTTGGTTGCCTTAGGAACGAACGTCGCTGACGCACTCCAGATGCTTAGGCTTCTTTCTCGTGCAAGATCCCACCCCCAACCTACCTACCCCGGCCGCTTTGCATGCAGCCCCGCCTTTTAAGCTCAGGCCCCGCCCCTTTGAAATTCTGTGCAGACCATAGTTCTGCTCAACCTTTACCGGAATCCACAGAACACCGCCCAAACCGCAGACGGATCGCACTGAGAGTGGGGGACCGGGTCTGGGGGCAGTGCGGACAGCCTCCGGAAAGCCCCTCCCGGACCCCACCCTCCCTCTCCTCCAGGTCACGTGAGCGACGTGGAGGTGCAGGAACACTGATAACTTCTTCGAGGTGAGGGTTGGCAAGGATGGCTTGAGTTTCCTGTGGGCCTGGAGCTCGACTGAGTTCCTCCTGGTCTTCTGCAGGAGGTATTCACGGAACTGCAGGAGAAGTACGGAGAGATTGAAGAGATGAATGTGTGCGACAACCTGGGGGACCACCTTGTGGGCAATGTCTACGTCAAGGTGCCTGCTGTCCCCCCATTAGAGCCCAGGCATTTCAGTGTCTCATGGACACCTCTGAAACCTCACAGCTTGAGGTCCATTGCTAAATCCAGTCCAGCCCCAGTACCGCTAACTAGTCCCCTGAAGATTTCTGAGTTTGAGTACTGATCCTGAGCCACTTTCTCCCCAGTTCCGAGAGGACGCAGAGTACGGTGGCTGAACTCAATAACCGCTGGTGCAGTGGGCAGGCTATGCATGCTGAGCCGTCTCTTGTCACTGACTTTCGGGAGTCATGCTGTCGGCAGCACGAGATGGGGTACGGTAGTACAGGTGGGACGGGTGCCTGGAGGCCCCGAGTCCTGTGTGTTGGAGGCTGTCAGTGATAGTGGCTTCCTTCATTGGCCCTCCTTTACCCAGGGAATGTACCCGAGGTGGCTTCTGCATCTTCATGCACCAGCGACCCATCTCTCGGAACCTCAGGCAACTCTATGCACGGGGACCTCGGCACAGGTACCCCAAGATGATCCTGGTCCTGTGCCCCAATAACAGTGTCCCAATTTTTTGTACCCTAAGACTAGCCCTGAGCTCCACCACAAGGTCTCAGTCCCAATCTCCAAACCAGCTTAAACTCCAGACTCCCAAACCTAAGACCAGCCTGATCTCCAGTCAGCCCCTAAGCACCTATCCTGAGACCACCTCTGGGAACTCTGGTTACTTCATCACCTGCCCTGCCTGCTCCCAGAGCAGAAGCTGACTTGAGGGATCAGCCCACCGCTCCACAGGGCACTGACTCTCCACTCCTGCCTCCAGGTCACCCCCAAGGTCCCATACTGGCCACTGTCCCGGAGAAAGAAACCGACGGTGTTCACCAGGCCACTGGCACGGCCGCTTCTGAGTCCCCTTGTCCTCTGCCTCTGATAGGCATAGAAGTTCCTGGCCGGTGCCCTTCCTCAAAGCTCCCTCAACTTCCCAGCACCATCTTCCCAGGATCCTGGGCTCTATGTTTTAATCTGTTCAACACAGACCTCTGCCCATCCCCTAATAAAGTTCTGTGTTGTGGGTTGATAGCTTTGAGCCTGGCTGTGGGCTGGAGTTTCCTTTCACGCCCCACATCTCCTGATTAAAAGGGGAAGTGGGGCTGGGCTTTGACCACAATCTCAGTTGAAAACTTCGAACGATAGGTAGAAAAGCAGTGGGTCCAGTGATCTAGAAGCCCCCAAGTGGGACTGGTGACGCCGTTGCGCTGGACTTCAGCACCTTCATCTGAGGCTTCTCAAAGGCGAGATCCGGGTTGTGGCAGGTTGACAGATCCCTACCCCACAGGAGATGGGGCTTAGGAGATAAGGTAAGGTCACTGGGAGTCCAGGGGAAATCTCTAGTGGGGGAAGGCTGGATTCTCCATGCCTCCTGGGAGTTGGTAATAACTAGTACGTCAGCTTACCCTCTGCCAAGCGCTGTTAAAAGCACACAAATTCCAGTGACATTTTTGCCATAACCTTGTGAGATGGGTGCTGTCGTTATCCCATTTTTCAGATGGGAAAAGAGAGGGCGGGAAGATGGCAAAGGTAGATGGGAATCCACGCGGCGAGGCTTGAGCCCTCACCATCCATCTGAGGCCCTGTGGCCGCTCCGACCATGAGGCAGGAGCTGGATGGGGGCTGTAGATTCTTGGAAGGGGGAGGCCCGGCTATCCTACACACCCACTCCTACTTTTTTCTGGCCTCAAGCCCTGCGGTCACGCCCTGCCGCCCCCCACCCGAGGCTGCAGGCCCCCAGGCCCTTCCTGATGGGGCCCCAGGGCCTCCTGACTGCCGCGCTGCTCCTGGCCCGGGCGGCGCCGCGCGAGGCCTCTCAGCACTGCGGCCGCCTGGAGTACTGGAACCCTGACAGCCGGTGCTGCGGCAGCTGCCTGCAGCGCTTCGGGCCGCCCCCCTGTCCTGGTGAGGAGCAGGGGTTTGCTGGGCGGATCTAGGGGGTGATCGGGGTCAGGGGCGGTGCGTCTTAACGTAGATAAGACCTGAACGCGAGGCAGAGCTCGTGGAGAAGAGGATTGTGCGGGTGACGTTAGGGCCAGGGCGGCGGCGCGCGCGGGACGCGGGCGAGGAGCCTGGGGAAGGCGTGGGCGGCGGCTGGAGCCCGCGCAGGCGGAGCCAGTGGGCGGGGCGGGCGGGGCGGGGCCGGAGGATGGGAGGGGCGCGGCCGCTGATAGGCTGGGGGCGGGCGCCGGGGCGGGGCCTGCCGCGGCGGGCCTGGGGAAGAGGCCGTCGCGAGCGCGCGAGACTCTTTCCCCCCAGGGTACGAGTTTTCGGAGAACTGCGGCCTCAACGACTTTGGCGACCATGTGAGGCACCCCTTCAGGCCGTGTCCTCCTGGGCGGTGCAACCCCGACGGCGCGGAGCTCTGCGGCCCCTGCGGTGGCGGAGGCACGGCCCCCACTCCCGCGGGGGGCGGCGGGGCGACCCGGCCTCGCTGCGGAGAGGTGCGGGCTGGGCCCCAGAGGGCCGGGGCCGGGGGCGAGGAGGGCGGCCCCAGAGGCGAGCCTAGGGGTGGGGGCGTAGACCAGAAGGTCGACCGCCTGGGCTGAGGCAGTAGGGGTGGGGCCTGGGTCCGGAAAGAACGTGGCTCCATCGGTGGAGACCACGCTGAAGGCGCTGGGCTGAGAAGGTGGGAGCGGGGCACACCTTCCCCACTTTACTCCAAGCCCCCGTTTCCAGAAGCCAGTTCCTACCAAGGAGCCCTGCAGCCTGGCGACTTCCAGCCTCTCACGGACCTCTCCAGCTACTGAGCCACTTTCTGCCGTACCGAGTTTTGTCCTGCCCGTGGTGCTGGTTCTGCTCGCCCTGGCAGGCGTCCTCTTGCTCGCCCTGCGGAAGCGCCGCTGCTGCCACCGCCGGGGGAAGGCTCACCTCCGCCCCTGCCCTGGCTTGGTGTGGGGAGATACCAACACCCACAGCCCCCTGTCTTTGCATCAGTCCACTCCAGGATCCCTGGAGGCCTCCGAGGCAGGGGATTCGTGGAAGACCTCTCTGCCTCCGCTCCTAGGCAGGGGTTAGTCTGGGGCACACCTAGGAGCGGGGTTATGTGGATGGGAAGCCTGCCCTTCCCCCGCTTACCTCTCCTTTGTCTCCCAGAGCTGCCTGGTTTGGCGTCAGAGCCCCTGTCCCGCCTCCTGGATGAGCTAGAGGTGCTGGAGGAGCTGATCATGCTGCTGGACCCCGAGCAGGGGCCAGGTGGGGGCGGGATGGCCTGTGGCACCACCAGACACCTGGCGGCGAGGTACGGACTGCCTGCTGCCTGGTCCACCTTTGCCTACTCGCTGCGACCCAACCGCTCGCCTCTGCGGGCCCTGATTGAGACGGTGGTGGCAAGGGAGCCCTCCGCCTCCCTGGGCCAGCTCAGCAAACACCTGGCCCAGCTAGGGCGGGCTGATGCGCTGCAGGTGCTGTCCAGGCTTGGCTCGCCTCGGGCTTGCCTGGCCTAATACTCAATAGATTCCCTTAAAGGAAGCGCCTGCAGTTGGCTTCATTATGGGGCCCTCTTGCAACACAGCCCTAATTGGGCCAAGACCCAACCGACACCCTCTCATTCCCCTTCCTGCAGCAAAGGGGCCCATCTCCCGCCCCCCCCAAGAGCAGGTGTGGGAGAGCTGGCCTCTGGGCAGCCTGGGCCCCTCCAAGAAAACTTGCTAGCCCGGGAGAAGGCACCTGCCAGGGCCCAGCTGGGCTCTCACTCGGGAAACGGAGACTGTCTGTTGCTCTGCAGCCATGGCAGACCCCACAGCCCACTGACGCCTGCCGCTCACCTACCTGTCCAGCCTGATGGGCTTTTCCTTGGCTCGGGATGGGCGTGGGGGACACAGAAACAGGAGCTCCATCTGCCCCCAACAGCAGACAAAGGGCAAGACCACCTCTCCAAACATTGACAGACTTTATTGTGGGGGGTTCCCACCTGGGTTCCCACCCTCTTAAATAAAAAAGTGCATAGAAAAGAAGGGATTTAGAAACCTTTGTACAATATCTACATCCTGGGCCCCCAGGGCACGTAGGGGGGCGATTGCTGGGTGGACTGGAGGGGTGGAGGCAGGGCCCTTGACACCTGCACGCCCACATCCACCCTGAACATGAGGGTGGGGGTGAGATGCTCCGGGAGGAACCGGGAACCCCCAGGCTAGGGGCCAGATGGCAGCAGGGGTCTCGGGGGTCATGGTGGGCAGCCACGGCTTCAGTTAAGGAACCGACGGCAGCGCTTGGCGCCACAGTTGCAGGGCAGCTTGTTGCTGGCATCCTCGATGGGGAACTTGTAGTCATAGGTGAGCTCCTCACCACGCAAGATGCGGCGCAGGGCAAAGATGACAATGTGCTTCTGGCCCTCCACGTGGATGACTCGAGAGAAGCAGTTGGGCTCACACGAGTGGTTGATGAAGCGGGCGGCGTTGCCATGCATCGTGGCGTCCACCACGTCAAAGTCATCCATGCGGAACATGTAGCACCCGATGCCCTAAAGGGAGGGGCAGGTGCGGTCGGTGTTCTGTCCCATGAGCCAGCCCGATTTCGCCCACCTGGCTGGCGCCAGTGGCCCGGCGGAGCCTACCTTCCCGTCGTAGAACTTCTCCCGCTTGTCAGTCAGCACAGAGCGAATGACAATACCGGAGTACTCGATGACCATCTCCCCGGCATCGATGTTGCGCTTGCAGAACAGGCCCCGCCCGTGGATGGCAGATCTGCAGGTTAGGGGGGGGAGGGGGCACTCAGGGCTAGGGGGACAGGACCAAGACAGCCCCACACCAGGGTGCCTGTCCATCCACCTAAGGGGCATCTTCCCCCTAACCCTGCTAACCTGTAGACACCCACAGCCTCTTTGGACGTCTTCTTGAGATGGCGAAAGCGCATGGCCATGGGCAGCTCCAGGCTGGTGGCACGTCTGGTGGGGGACAGCGGTGTTACTCGGGCTGGTACCCAGGACTGACCTGTCTTGTCCCTGGTCACTGCTTTAAAGACCCGAACAGACCCCCAGCCCCCTGGCCTGCCCTCCATACCTGGTGGACCTGAGCTGCACCTCATCCTCTTCCTCATCGCAGGTGGCTCCCTCAGGGAGCACCCGGTGCTGAGAGGCCAGGAAGTTGAACATGTCGAAAGTACACTTCCTGCAGGTGGAAGGGAAAGAGGGCGGCTCGCAGCCATTCCCTCAAGGGGACGCTGCCTATCTGGGGGACTTGGGCCTACTGCTGGTTGCGCAGGAGAAATACTACAACTTACACCTGAAGACACAGGGGAAGGGAGAGGGAAGGGGACCATTCTCCCGATTGGGCACCCGAGAAGCCATTCTCGGAGCAGCCTGGTGTCACCTCCCCAGGCCTCTGCTTCTAATTGACAAAGACTTAATTCCCACCCCTGGGAATTCCCACTGAGCTCCCCAACCGAAGCCTCACACCCCAGACCTCTCACCGGAGATAGACCTCCGCTCGGGCCGCCCCATGGGGATTCAGGGGTGGCTCCTCCTGGCCCTCTCCCTGCTGGTGGTAGCGGAACTTATAGTGTTGGCAGCGCTGGGCGCCCGGCAGCTGCTCTGCCAGGAAGATGACAGCATCGTGGTGGATGCCCAGGAGCCTCGCCCCACTCATTCCTGGGGAAAGTCAGCGATGAGGACACAGAAGCCACGTCAGGAAGTCAGCCCAGGCTCCAGTGCCCCTGTGGACGCCCCGCTTACCACTGAAGGACAGATGTCTGAGCCGTGCGTGCCCTCGGGCCTCTTGCACCTTCTCAATCAGAGTTCTCCATGCCCCTGGGGAGAGGGCAGGGCCCGAGCAGAGTCCAAATGGTGTTCTCTGGGACACCTGCCCTCCCTGCCCACACCACCCCCCACTCACCCTCCAAGCTCTCTGCCTCCACGCTGAACCCATCCTCACTGCTGATCTCAAAGCGCAGGTGCGGGCCAGCCCGTTTTGGGGCCTGGTTCTCTTTGTCCTCTGGGGATGGAGGCTCTTCCTCAGAGCTTGAAGCTTCACCTGGTCCCAAGGGGCAGGTCAAAGTAGATGAGGATTACCTTTCCTGGTTTCAGAAGCCCCCAGTTCCCCAATGCTCTCCCTTCCTCCAGGCATAAATGCAGATCTGGGGTCGGACGGGCCTCTTCTGCAGACCTCCTTGGGTAAATGCACAGTTCCACAGAGACCTGCAGTGCTGTGGCTCTGTGGGCCCCACTGTTGGCTCACTGAGACCCGCTTACCATAAATGTTCACCTGCCCTGAGTCATATAAAACTGAAAATACCGGAGAATTATATTCTGCACGTTTTTCATACCAGCACATTTCCGAAACATATTATTGAGTTGTCGGAAAAGTCATGATGCATTTTTGCTTGAAAAGAAAAGCAGAAAAAATACCTCATGACTTTGACGACCCAACATTACAGAGGCCCGCACTCACAGACTCAAGTACACAGACATCATGAAGTACCGAAGGGGTTTCTCAGGAGCTAAAGGTAGAGCGGGACAGGACTTGCTGAGTGAGACTGCGGGGTGGGGGTGGGGAGGAGCGAGTTCTGAGTGAAGGTCAGGGCTCTGTGTCAGACGTGCTTAGTCTAAGGTTCCTCGCAGAAACCCCCCCTTGCAGCTCGTTGGTGGAGCTGGTGCGCAGGCAGCTGGGCACGGCAACAGGAGCACAGTTAGTAAGCTGGGGTGAGTGAGGTGTGTGTGTGCGGGGAGCGGTCTAGAGCCAGGAAGCTAGAGGAGAGACCCTGGGCGTGCACATGGAAAAGTCAAGTCCAGAACGCTACGACACACACCCATGTCCAGAGGGTGGGACGCTGGAAGGCACCAGCAGCGAGGGGGGGGGGGGGAGGGAGGGTGCTGGGAGCCAGGGGAGAAGTGCTTCACGCGGGAGGAATCAGCACAACAAATGCTGCCGTTGGCCGCAGGGGAGTGGACCAGGGGCTGACCCCTGCTCTCCAGCGGTGTGGGGCGCTCTACACTGAGGGAGGCGCGCTTAGGAGGCAGGACTCACGTGGCCACTTTCTCCCTCCATCACTCTTCCGGACCAACCTGCCTGCCCATGTGCCCTCCCAGACCTGACCCACGGCATCTCCCAGGCCTCAGTGCCCCAGGGTCTGCCATCCCTTAGTCCTTGCCCCGCCCTCAACTCCATTCTGGTCTCTGATCATCCCAGGGGGGCTACAGGGCCCCGGCCCAGACCCTCTCTCCCTGGCTTCTTCCTCACTGTGTCATTTCCAGGTGCTATGCACCTGCTAGTGACTGTCTGGTCACTGCCAAACCCACATGCTCTGAGCCGGGGACGCAGCCTTTCAGTTACACTCTCAGGCCACGTCATTCCGCTTCCACGGCCGGCAGCTGAGCTGACCCACACCTCTGGCTAGGGCTGGCATCGCAAGAAACGAAGAGCCCCAGGTTGCTCGCGTGCCAATTTGCTTAGCTGTGGCCCAGTGCCCTCCTGGCCCCCGTGACAACAGAACAGCACTTCCCTTGCATACCGGTGTCTCCACAAGCACACCTCCCCCGGCCCCGCCCCCTCCGAGAGGGCTCCCACTGAACACACCGGGCCTCGATCCTGCCACTCCTTTTCCATTCATGACCCTCCTCTGTCTTCGTCCTTGGCGTTGCTCAGTCCTCACACTGAAACCTTCTAAGCTGCTGCCCTGCCCCACCTCCTTCACCCAGAACCTTTGCTTAGCTTTTGGCAAAGTGCAAAAAGCACCTTGGGTGTTGTTTCGGCTCCATCAGCCACAATTCTCAATTCTGGACTCTGAACAGCCTCCCCATCCTGCTCACAGAACATCAACCCTGGCCCCGCCACAGGCAGGCGTCCTAGGGCAGTGGGGCAGCTGACCACTCCCTCCCCCGGGGCTGGCTGGCTGCACGCGAGGAGCACTGCCACTGCGGACACAGCAGGAGGGAAATGGACGCGGTTTATTCTCTTCATGTGAACTCTAGAGACATCTTTAGATCCCTCCCCGATCTCCTCCTGTTTCTGTCACACCTCTGGGTCTTAGGTGGGTTCTGTTCTTTCTGGTTGATCCCCAGACCGTCATCTTCAAGTTTACGAGGTACCTGCCCCTCCGACACTGGGCTCTGAATCCCTCCCTGGGCTCTTGGGTCTGTCAGTCAAACCACTTTCAAGAGACCTCTCACGCGGAGCTACACCTTGTTTTCGCCACCAGCTATAAGCTCCCGGAGGGCTTCTCTCTAACTCCAGCACCCAGCCTTGGCCTTACACCCAGGCAGAGGTGCAGTGTGCAGTGCCCAGTGGGTGTCATTGGAAGTGGAGCAATCCTGCATCTGACGCAAGTACTGGTGAGGAGATGGTGAGAGGGCAAGGCTGATCCCTACCTGAGTAGTGGTGCCACTGGGACTCGAGCAGCAAGTCGGGGGGACCATCGGATGTCCGGGTAGCACCGCCATCTGGAAGTGGCAGCAGAGGGGACCGGTCCTGAAAGGGCCTATGAGGAGAGACCTGTCAGAAAAGGGAAGGGACAGAGGTCCCAGAGTCTCTGGGGAAAAGGGACTGGCCACTCACCTGTGGCTTTCCTCCCCAGCATCATCCAGGTCTAGAACTCCACGCACTGTGGGCGTTTTCATCCTTACTCGGCTGCACCTTGGGGGGAAGCACAAGAAGGCTGAGCTCCCTGTAGCCTGCTGCTCTGGCCTCCTTCCACTGCCTCAGGATATTCACTTACCCGCTGCCACTAAGCCCTGGACCCTGGGGGGGATCCTCCAAGGACTCTCCATCTTCCTCCAGCCGGGGGGCCTTGCTTGGGGGAGGCGCTGGCGGGGAACGGCCAGAGAAGGTGGATACCCTCTTGACGCGGATGGCCTGGCGGGGTGGACTGGGGGGTCCGCCGCTCAACACCAGTGTCAATGGAGGGGGTGGCGGGGGTGGGGCAGGGCGGACCACCACTGGCAACATACCCAGCAAGGGGCCTGGGGGCAGAGTCCAGGAAGCAGGGGTTGCGGGGGGGAGAGGTGGAGGGAGAGGCGGCGGCGGCTTCACTGGGGGTGAGGCAGGTTCACCCTCCCCGGCCATTTTCACAAACACTTGGCCCAGCTTGTTGACAAGGATAATTTTGGATGCGGCAGGTTTGGGGGGCTCGGGGGCGGGGCCAAGGCTCAATACCCGGACCCCTGGGGCCCCAGGGAGCCAGGCAAATGTCCGGGCGGGATCAGCGGGACTGGGGGGGAGAGCCTGGGGGGGCTGGCTGCCATTCGCTATGGGAGGTGGTTGAGGGAGGGGCTCCTCTCTGGGCCCCACACCCCCCTCCCCCGGCCCCCCCAGGTTCTTCAACACAAAATCCACAATCTCTGACGGCAAGTCCTCAGGCGGTCGGGCCCTGTCCCCGGCAGCCCCGATGACCCCAGCCCGGCCTGCTCCTGGCCCTGAAGGAGGAGTGCCCTGGCCCCGCGGCTGCTGGACAGCCTCAGCCTCGCTGTCTGTGCCGTCGTCCACTCCGTCCAGCTGCTCGATGCGGGGCGCACCCGAGAGGGGGCCGGGCGCCAGGGCAGGACCAGACACCACAGTCACAGGGAAATGGACGTAGCGAGGGGCGGAGCTTGTTTCTTCCTCTGAGCTGTCCCCGGGGCCCCCATGGCTGCTCCCCACTGCCCCGGCGGCCACAATCTCTTCCTGGAAGGGCTCAGTCCCCAGCAGGGTGGCCGCAAAGTCCAGGTCAGCAGCACTCAGTCCTGACACCACCTCCATGTCCTCAAAGTCTGGGCCCAAGTCTTCAGAGGGTGGTGGGGGAGATGGGGCCAGGCCAGGGGGAGCCAGCTCCCCTGAGGTAGGTGTGAGGGCTCTAATGACTGAGGTAGGAGGGGGCACCCTGAGCTGAGGGGAGGTTCTGAGAGGGGGGGAGGCCCGTCGTGACGGTGGCAACCGGGGGGCCAGGGGGCTGGGCCGACGGGAGCGTCTTGGGGGAGCTGGGAAGTCCGGGTCTCCTACTGTAGGGATGTGGTGGGTTAGAGAAGACGGACTTCCTGTTGGGGAAGGGTCAGGGTCAGTGAGATCTTGCCTTGTCCCACCCACCCCCTTTTGCTCCCCTCCCCTCCCCTCCCCTCCCCTGGACCCTCTGAGGTACTCACCAGGGGAGGGCAAGGGTCCAAAGGAGACACCCCCCAAGGGCCTCCGGGATGGTGAGTAGTTGGGCACTTTGATTCGAGCCCCCAAGAAGGAACGGGGGGCTGGAGGAGGCGGGTTGCTTGGATCCAGCCGAAGTGGGGGGTCCAGGTTCTGAATGGGTGAGTGGTGTTCAGGAGCTCCCGGGATAAGGGCATCTGTGTCTGGCGGGGGGTCCACATGATCTGGGGGCTCTAGGAAGCAACAGAAACTCATCATGGGTGGCAGGGCCCGCCTGCTGAGGACTCAATCACACGCCCTCCCCTTGCTTTCAGCCACTCGCTCCTCCTCCGTCTCCACTCGACCATGTCACAACACGCACTGATTCCCAGTCATCACCCGGGCCCCGAACTCCTCCGTGGCTTCTGCAAAACCCCCACACAACTAGGTCAGGCCCCCTTTGTGACCCGTTTCTCCACCTCTATCTCCCCCCTCCCCAGCCGCCTACTGCTTTTTCTCTGATTGAGGTTCCATATGCCAAGAGGGGCACTGCCCTCTCTAGCAAGGCCCGTCCTACCACTTTCTTACCTGCTCGGCACATCCCGGCCACATCAAACACACCCGCCCATGCTGATGCTTACACTCCCCACGACTGGCTCCACCCGATCTGTGCACACTCATCTCTGCCTCCTCCTCCCAATAGTCCCAGTTTCCAGCCAGGGAGACGGCACTCGTCTCCCCTCTACACTTCATGTCATGCTCTGCCAGGGACGAGGACCCTTATCCACAAACAGTCCAAAGCTCTTCCTCCACACCGCCCGCAATGACCGCCCCCTCTGCCAGTCTCCAAGCTCATTCTCTGAGCTGCCATCTAGCTCGCAGCCGAAACGCATGTGCCAGCGTGGTGTCAGAGGGCCAGTATGGGGATCAAGCAGTTCCGGGTTCAAATCCTGGCTCCACCACCAGGTTACGGGGAGCACAACTGCCGCCTCAAGTGGCAGTACAACAGGGGGCGGGGTGGGGCGTTAAATGAGCATGTAGTCCAAGTCAGGTGGCCTAAATGCTCCCTACATTTGCCCAGAAGTTGCCATTCCCCCCAGGCACGATGCTCTTCGCTCACTTCCTGTGAAATGCTAAGCGCAAATGCCTGGCACAAATGCCCAGTCATCAGCTTAAGCGTGGTGGGTAACCATCTGGGAAGGCTGCACTCAGAGAAAAAAATGAGGTAGTTCTGAGGCCTCACCTAAGGAAGGGGCAGGGCTGTGCACAATGGTCTGGTTCTCCTCTGCTGCTTCCAAGTGAACCGGCTCTTCCCTCGGCCCCCATGGCCGATACTCCAGAATTCGGCACCGATACCAGCAGCGCCGCCGAGCATCCACTGTGCTCCAGTAGAGACGGGAGCACCTGTCGGGTGGACATGTGGGACAAGAGGGTCAGGACAACTTGGGAAGTGAGATCCAGTCCTGGCGTCCCCCAATCCCGCCAAGGCCCCCTGAGCTGCTCACTGGTAGCCAATGGGGAAGAGCCGTCCTTCGCAGTCCGAGAGGTCAGACAGAGTACCCAAGGAGTCAATTCGGATGGAGCCTATGATGCAGAGGAAAAGTCAGGAAAGTGGGGTCAGCAGGGTAAGGGAGATTGGGTGCAGAGCACTCAGCTTACCAATAAGCACGTTGATGGCGTCAGGTTCGAGACCCGTCAAAAACTTTCGCTTGAAGTTGATGCCCTCGAAGTCCACGTAGACTCGGCGGAGAACATCAAATCCGTCAGGGGTCACGATCTCCTGGGAGGTAGGTGGCGAATGGGGTTGCTGGATTGGTGGGTGGCGAGGGGGATTCGAGGGAAGGTTCTGTTGGCAGGGACTGGACAGTCGGGGGCTTGGCTAAAGGACGCCAGGAGAACAAGGAGGAGACACTGAGACACAGCAGGGGCCAGGCCTGAGGGGTCACAGAGGGGGCCCCTGAATGGAAGGGGATAAAAAAGCAAGGGAGCGCTATCTCCCCCCCAGTTTTGGCCCACCTTGCCATCCAGCAGGTCTGTATGCTTCTGGCAGAAAACTTTCTTGTCATCCTGGAAGATGCAGTAGCTGGCCCGGGCACACATGAAGTGGAAGTTGCTGAGGCAGGAGGACAGGCAGCAGCCCACGGTGGCGCCAGGCTTCAGGCAGAGCTCACAGCGCTGCGGGTGGAAGGGGCTGCTGAGGGGAGAAGCCAGTGACCGGGGCCAGGGTCTGAAACTCAGCCTTGCTGTCCTTGAGACTCTGCTCGGGGACCTGCCAAGCCTGGCGCCTCACAGAGCGAAGGCACTCACCAAACACCACCTCTCCCCCAGCTGCATCCAGGGCCAGGTGCACATCAAAACTATTTCAAATGTTTTGTTTTTTTTAGCTTTTTTTTTTTTAATTAATTAATTTATTTATACAAGCACTGGGTACAGTCAGAAGCATGGGAGGGTGAGAGAATTCACCAGAGCCGGAGCAGGGAACAGAACAGGCAGACTGACGAAATACACTGCTGAGGGGAGCAGTGGGCGTGGCAGGTCTGTCACGCCATGTGGGACCCTCGCCGGTGCCTGGGGATCGAACCAGCACTGCAGAGGGTGCGGGCAGCGTCGCAGCCCAGCGCTCAACCACTGCGCCACCAGGGGAGGCCCTTCAAATGTTTTGAAGCACAGTGTGGCAGCAGGGAGAAAAATCACAACTGTGACCTCTTCCTGAGCGGCAGTCGTCGTCTGTCCCACGCTAACGTGGAAGCTGTCCTACTCCATCTGAGCCTCACCTGTGTGCCCTGCAACAGGCACCCTACCACCCCACCTGCCGCAGGGATCTTGAGGCACTCCGCAGGACCACCCTAGTTTGCTCTGGGGGCAGGAGCCCTAACCCAGGAAACTCGCCTCACAGGGACACAGAGCTGAACGTCACACTGTGCAGAGAGCATCCAGCGCAGCTTTGACCAATAGGGCTTCTAACTGCGTTTCCAGACCCGGCCCCCCTCCGGTTAGCGTGCGCAACGGGAAAAATAGCGATAGCTGTAGCACCAGAAGCCCAGGACAAGCAAGAAAGGTAACGAGGATGAACAGTGCAGGCTGGCTAGGGGGAGCACGTGACCAGAGTGCCGTCGCCCCTGGAAGAGGGCTCTCCCCGGTCCCCCGCCCGGCCCGTGCCCTCACCATCTGCCTCCCGCGGGCCACGGCCGCATGCACATTCTTCAGGGAGCCATCGTTTTCCTCAAACACTTCAGCTGACCAAATGGCACAGTTGACGTGTGTCCACTCATTCTGCCCGATGTACAGGAGCCGCCCCGCCTCCTGGGAGCAGAGGAGTGGTGGTGTGAGGGAAGCTGCCCCAGGCCTGGCCTTCACAACTTGGGGCTTCACGCAAGGGCCCTCACCTTTGAGTCTGCATCCCCATATTTGAGACAGAGCGCACACTGGCGGGGGTCTTCCAGGTGTGACAGAGCAGCTGGATCCTTGCCCTGGCAAGCTGGGGGGCAAGGAAGTGAAATCTAAGCATCAGGACCCGGAGCTGGCGCCCTGACGCAGGGCTCCGCCTTGCAGCCCCTACTCACCAGCACCCGCTGAGGGGTCTCCTGGAGGCTGTCCTGATTCTGGGGTCTCTGGTTCCTGCTGTCTCCACTGAGCGTAGACGTGGTCCAGGGATGGAGGCAGCACGGCATTGGGAAGGACTCCGCTGTGGACAGGCGGGGTCAGCGTCTGACAGGGCTAACAAGGTGGCTGGACATGGCCCACCTGTGGTGTCAGCCTAACCATACCGTGACACTGTCTCTGTCCACACGGAAATCTCTACACCACCCCCCCCACCCCGCCCCAAGCCTCTCATGCCACTATGCCACAGGAAATGATGTCCCTCAGACCTATAGTCTGTCTCCACATTTCAGTTTCATGTCGTTTCTTCTACCCCCTTGGCTCCACCAGACGACTCTATTGGGCTCCCACAGCCCCCTCAGCTTCCTCATCACTGCTCTGGTCATCCGGGCCAGCACTGCCTGCCCAGCCCCAGCACTGCTCTGCACAAAGCAGCAGCAGACTGAGAGCTACTTCACTTTTGAGTCTCTGCTAGTCTAGAACCAACCAGGCTGCTGTCCCGGTTCCACCACCCTCCAGACCCTAAATCGCTCCTCGTCTCTTCTTGGTCCAGCTGGACCCCTGGACTCCCAGGTGCCCTCACTCCCTGGTTCCCCTCCTGGGCCAAGCCCTGCTCACTTTGGCAGCCGGGTACTCCGTCGCCAGTACTTGGGGTCGTGGGCGTCGAACCAGCCGAACGCAGACTCTAGCAGCTGGGGAGTGGGTTAATAGGATGAGAGGTGGCTTCCCCAGGAGGTGGCGGGGGCAGGGTCTGGAGGACCCACTTCTTCCTCCCACTACCACTCAGGCCACCCTACAGGCATCTCCCAAAGAGCGCACCTTCAGTAGCAGCCCCTTTGTCTGGCCTCCGGCCCGGCGCTCTGGGGTCTCGCCTTCTTCAGAGTGCCTCATCAAAATGCCCACCATGTCCTCCATGAAGCTGTGCTGTAAGGGGTTTTGTTAGGATCCAGGCCCGCCCCCCACCCCAGCAAGCCCCCACCTGTTCCTGTATCCCACTCACCACGGACTTATAGTGGCCTTCCTCAAAGCGCTGACTCACGGCCTGCAGACCACAGGGTCCTGGGTGCAGCTGCTTTCCATCCTGCCCACACTGAAAAAAGAGGGGAAGTCAGCCGGGCTAGTGCTGGTCTGGCCCCACCCTGCCCGCCTCCTGAGCTCTCCAGACCTGGGTGCACAGCAGCAGTGGGCCTGCCACCTTGGAGTTCAGCAAGCCCTGGAGCACCTGGCGCAGGCCCCCCTGTAGAGCCCCACTCAGGGCCTCTCGCCAGCGGGGGTGCGTAGCCCCAGCACACGGTCCACACGTGTAAAGCACCGAGTCTGGCAGCCCCGAAAGGATCTCATAGTCTTCATCTAGAACCAGGGTGAAGGAAACGATGGTTTGGGTGGGTGGGAGGGTTTTGAGCACCCCGACACTGCCAGGGATATTTAGTCCACTGGTCCTCTGAGGTTGCTGGGGAGAGGACAGGGACCCCTTTGGGTCAGGCCCCACCCCAGGTCCCCCACCCACGCACCTGAGAGGCCCTCACACTTGGCGTGCACCCAGTGGTCACACTGCGCGCACTGCATCATCTTGCTTTCGTAGTCATTGTCTTCATAGCAGCGGGTGCAGATCGGGCAGTAGTTTCCTGGAGAGAAAGGGGAGTAGAGGGGAAGTCAGAGGGGCTGAGGCACTGTACCCTGCCTGGGGGTCAGCCATCTCTTGACTGCTACAGTGGGGGTGTCCAACATGCTCCATTTTGGGTCGCTACCATTCCCAAAAAGCTGCCTGAGGAAAAGGTATTTTCTAACTCTACAGCCCAGAGTCTCACAAAGAATAGGGTCTTGCTTAACTCGGTGCCTGAATAAATGGGGAAAGTCCAGGTTTGTAAACGGCTCAGTAGACGCCTGAGGTTGCAGGAGGTTATCTCAGGGACTACCAAGAGGTTGGGGTTCCAGGCCCTGTACTCTCGCTGTCCTGAGAGGGGCTCTGTGTCCCTCTAGTCTGCGTACCCTGGACAGAAGGGAGGATTCCATGGTTGGAGAGGGTGGAAAACCCCTAAAAAAGGGCATTTCTAACTGCCTGTTGAGGACACCGTCCCACTCCCTGGCGGGCCCCCCCAGGGTCCATTTCACCTGAAAGGTCCCCACCTTTCTCAAAGAGCTGAGTGCACCTGGGGCAGAGGCTGTAATCGCCAGACCACTCGACGTCCCAGTTCTTGCCTGGAGTCGCGCCACAGCTCTTACAGCGCACGCAGGCTGAGCAGATCTGGGGAGTGGGGTGATGTTAGGGGAGAGCCACACACCAGCTGGGCAGCGCAAGAGGAAGACAGGCCAAGAGAAGTGGAGGGCAGGCAGGACACAGGTAAGGGAGCAAAAATGTACAGGGGAGGCAAGTACCAGGAAGAGGAGAAAGAGAAAAGAGGCCAGAGGGAGATGCAGAGGAGGGGAAAGTGGTGGGGGGAGGGGGTAGAGAGGAGAAAGGGAGGTAGGGGGAGATTCTGAGTCTGGGGCTATAAAATGCAGGAGCCTCTGAGACCATTCCACACAAATTCTACCACAAATCTTATCTACATGAAGTTTCTGAAAAGGAAACATGTTCACCAAAGTCCCATTAAGGACCTCCAACCTTCCCCTTCTCACAAGAGCCCTGGCCTAGAGCAGGCTTGGGGGGTGGGGTGTTTCAAGAGAACCCCAGGGCCAAGGGGCGCGGGTCTCATCTCTCACCCAGTGGCGCCGCTTGCGGGTAGCCCGTGTTGGGTAACTAGGCCCCAGGCAGGCTGGGTGGTAAGCATGGCGGCAGCGCTCACACTCGAGAAGGTGCTGTTGGATTTGGAGAAAGAGCAATGGCAGAGTCGGCCGGCACAGGGATACCCCTCTCCTCCATGCCTCCACCTACCCCAAGGCCCGAGCCCAAACCTTGGATCCCCGGCCTTTACGCCCACAGACGTGGCAGAACTTGCAGCGACGGCAGCACCAGGAGTCGTGATGTTGGGGGAGGGGTCGCTCAGCTTCTTCCAGGCAGAAGGGGTGGAAAGGGTCACAGCAGACTTGGCAGAACACCAGCTGGGGTGGAGGAGAGCAAACGATGGCCCCAGCGTGAGGCCAAGAGACCGAGGAACGAGGCCCTACTGAGAGAGCCCAAGAAGTCAGGCAGTGAGGGCCAATGGATACTTGGGGGTGAAAAAAGGCAGGGGTCAACCTCATGCAGGCCTTTACTGGCACACAGCAAGCACACCATCGGCGGGCCCCCTGGCACGGACGTCAGCACGCTTAGGCCGCCCATCAGCCACACATTCTCTAGGTCACAGTCCTCCTGAGGGAAGAGAAAACATGGAATCAGAGAGCAGCCAGGAACCCGGGACAGATCCACCCTGACAGTCCTGGCTTCTCAGAAGCAGTTAACAAGTTTCTTTCAACAAGTCACGGCAACAGTCCCTCCACCCCCTCCTTCCACCAATGCCGTACCTTAAAATCCACGCGGACTCGATGCACGCCATCAGGGGACTTTTGTTTTCCAGTCCAGCCATTGGGAAAAGAAGCAAAGGGGCCAGGGGCCAAAGCATCCTGGGAGGGACGGCACTGGTCAGAGCGCGCTGCTAGACCCATCCTTTGCAGACTTCTCCCTGGCCTTTCCCCCAACCTGCCCAGCCCTGGCTTCTGCCCAGATCCTAATGGTGTTCCGGGAGGAGACGCCAGACTCACCCGAGGGCCTACCCTCTGGTGTGGACAAAGCACAGCACCCGGGCGAGCCCAGGAGCCCGACCTGCCAAGAAGCCCCTGGAGGGTGAGAGCCCTGTCTCCCACAGGGCTTGGGGTCTTGGCCCTGCTGACCTTGTCCAGGCGCCTGCGGGCCTTCAGCTGTAACACAGGCTGCAGGGTGGGTTTGCGGGGTCGGCTCTGCTCCTCAGGTTCAGGTACTGGCAGCTCTAGGCAGGACACATCAGCAGTGAGGTCTCCCCCCTCCACTGCCCGATTCTATAACCCCCAAGCGTTAACCGGATCCCCAAGGCCTTTCTCAATTAGCCAAGGTCCACTGTGATGAGTCTTAGGCCTCACTCAATAAGCTACTGAAAACCTCACACGCCACTCTCCTTGTCCGCTGAAAACCACCTCCATCATCTATCCTCGAGCTACTTTCTGTCGCACCCACGGAGCCCTGGAGCCGGGAGCCCCACCCCTTCCATACCAATGACAGGACTGACAGCGGAAGCAACAAGCAATCCTCACCATTCTCTCGGGGGGTCCGACGCCGGGGAGCAGGGGGACCCCCGGGCTCCGAGTCATCTGAGTCCTCGAAGATATCATAGGAGGGTCGCTGTTTGACGCAGCGCCGGGCTGACTTGCGCTGCAGTAGGAGGGAGTCCTGCTCCTCGGGCCCCGGGGGGGCCGCCACCTCCTCCCGGGGCCCCCCAGCTCCCGCCCCCCGGCGTGGGCCTGGAGGACCAGGGGAGGCCTCAGGAGATTCATCGGAATCCCAGGGCAACAGCGTCTTCACTATCGTCCGGCCTGTGGGAACAGGGGACTTAGTAGAATTGAGCTCCGTCAAGGACACGGGGCACTGGAGTGAAGAAAAGGCAGAGAGCAGGGGGGCAGAAGACAGGCGCGGGAGGGGCAGGAGCAGCACACGACGGAGAAGGCAACAAAGATGCGGGGTGGCAAAACGGAGGACAGCAAAGAAGACACGGGGTTCCTCCCTCCATGCAGCTAAGACAAGACGCATGAGGAAATACGCCTCAAGCCTTGTTACCTTTTTTAGCCAGTCGTTCCATCTTCCGAGCCTCTATCTTGTCACACTTACGGTATCTGGGGAGGGGAGCAGCACGTCACCAGGGTAGGGGACTGTGGTCTGGGGGAAGAGAGGAAGCTCTCCACCAGGATGCCAATCCCACTGCTCTGGCGGGGCAGGAGGCCTGGGTGACTGACAACCACGGGTGAGAAGGAAGCTGTACCCCAGCTACTCACACACAGCACTGCTTCTTGGTGTTGGGGCCCCCAAACTTGGGCTTGTCCAGGCAATTGACACAGGACCCACAGTCCTGCACACGCAGGCAGCCCCGACAGTGTCCACAGCGCGCCATTCGCATCTTCTTGCCGTGGTGGGAGGGCAGCGAGCGCCGCGGTGCGTGAGCCAGGGTGGCTGCGGACCCTGCAGGCTCCGAGTCTCCCCCGGGTCCTGCGGACTCCACCTTCTCCCGCTGGGACCGCGACGGGACACTCTCCGTCTCAGAAGCTGATGAAGTATCTAGCACAGCAGAGAGGAGATGGAGCCACAGAGCCACCAGGCATCCTGCTTCACTTCTGCTCCCCCCTCTAGCCATTCAACCGTCAACCTGGTCGTCACTTTCCCGCAGGGTACAGATGCCGGGTGCCGCCAAGCCCGAGTGCTTAAGACCTAGTCCTCAACTCACGTGCCTCTTAACCCCAAGCACCCGACTCGGCTCCCACTCGCCTAAGCTCCTGGTGCACTTACTCACCCCAAACGTGACACAGCTGTCAAATCTCCCACAACACACCCAGCCCTACCCTCCGTGGCGAGGTCCTGCCGATCCCGGAGAGGGAGCGCGCTGAGGCGGGGGACATCCTCAGGCACCATGGCCCGGGCCTGGCCCAGGGCCACAGCAGCATGACGGCAGACGTGCTTGATGCGGGGCCCTTGCACAGGCGACTCGGGGCCCTGGGGAAGGAGAAACCGGGAACACATGTGGGGAGCTGCCCCCGTGTCCCGCAGCCAGCTGTCTCCAGAGGGCCCTCCGCCCACTTCATACCGACGGTCTCTCTCTCTTAGCGTCCAACGATTCATCTTCGGACCTGACGGAACCTCTGTCTGGTATCTGCTTGACGGTCCCCACGCCCTCCTCCACCTGCCCGCCAGGGCTCGGCTGGTGGGAAAACAAACAGGACCAGAGGCTCGAAAGCTAGGAACTTTCCACAGGACTAACGTGAGGGGAGGGAAGGAACGCAGGAAGCTGAGGGAGAGGGAAGGACCGGCCGTGAGAGCGCCCTGCAATGCTGGAGGGTGTCTCGGGAGGCAAGAGGTTAAGGAGCTGCAGAGACTTTTGAGGTACAGGCACCCGGCCGAGGGCCATGCTCACCGGCGTCAGAGACGCCACCTTCTGCTGCTGTTGCTGGTCGATCTTGAACAGCTGCACCTTGGCTCTCTTGAGGAGGCTGAACATCTTCTCCTCCACACCAGACAGTGGTAAGGAACCCAAGCCTGCGATCCGGGCCTTTTCCAGTGGCGACGGCTGCTGCGTTAGTGGAGGTTGTGGTGGCGGCGACTGCTGTGATGGTAGTGGCTGCTGTGGTGGTGACTGCAGTTGTAGCTGTGGCTGCAGCTGTGGCTGCAGGGGTGGTAGTGCCTGGGGCAACAGCTGGGCATGCAAGGCTGGCAGGGGTTGCTGTAGCTGAGCCTGAGGGTGCTGCCCACTGCTCAGAGCTGGAGCCCCAGGAGGGGGCACATCGGCCTTAACAGGAGTGGTGACCACAGGGGCAAATCGAGGCAGGCTGAGGTGGTTGGTGCGGCCCACTGCCCGTGGCTCAGGCTCAGCTGGAGAGTCATCGGCGGGAGGCGGCTCTGGCTCAGGGGCTTCGGGGGCCCCAAGAGTAGTAGTAGTAAGCACCGATTCGTAGATCTTCAAGTGGGCTTCGCTTGGGGTAAACTGAGGGGCTCGAAGGAGCAGGGGTCTCCGGGATGGAATGGCAGGGGCAGGCGGTGGGGGTGGAGGCGGGGGCGGGGGTGGGGCCGGTGGAGGGGCAGGGGGAGGCGGGGGCAGTTCCCGGGTCAGCGAGGTCCAGCGAAATGTGGGTTCCCTTAGGATAGACTTTCTCTTCTCGGGGAGCGGTACAGGGCTAGATGGAGGAGTTGGGGCACGTGGGGGAGAGGGAGCTGGCGCTGGTTCCTGGGGGGCGAGCGGGGAGATGGCAACGGGAGGTCGCTGAGCAGGTGAGACCTCCACCTTTGGAGGCTTGGGGGGATCTTCATCTATAAATCGCCGGGGTGTCTTGATGATGCGGGAGGAGCGGGCACTCACCACGGGCATAATAAACTGCCGGATGTTCTTCAGGAAGGTGGTACTTTTGGGGACCACAGTAGGACTGTCTTCAAGAAGGCCTCCTGTGGTGGCACTGGGGGTTGGAGTGGGAGGAGAGGTGCCCTCCGGCCCTGCCCGAGCCGCTTCCCGCTCAGCCCGCTGGCTGGGAGTCAGGGGAGGCCGGCCCCTCTTCCTGGAGCACACGGCTGGGACCACAGGAGGCGGGGATTCTTCCTGTTCCTCTGGGGCAGGAGGCGGAGGCGATGAAGGAGGTGGGGGGGACACTGGGGGAGGCGGCGGGCCCGGTGGGGATGGAGGAGACATCGGAGGGGGTGGGGGAGGTGGGAGAGGTGGAGGGGTCGAAGGAGTCAGTGGTGGCGATGGCAGTTTTATCTCTTCCTTCTCCTCAGCTATCACCTCTTCCTCGGCCACAGCCTTCTCTTCCCGCTCTTCCGCCTCCTCGACTTTTTCTTCTTCTCTCTCTTCCTCTCCCTCCTCCTCCTCTCCCTCCTCCTCCTCCAGTTTTTGCTCCTTCCTCCAGCAAGGACCCTCTCCCTGTCCAGCTCCGACTCTTCCTTGGGGGGCATCCTGCCAGCTTTCCCCATGTTGATCTTGACCCTGACCTGATTCGAGTTCCAAGGACAATCGTCCCATCTTCACTTTTTTGGCCTTTGAAACAAACTTGATCACAAGGGGGAGCCCGCCTCGGCCTCGGCCCCTGCCTCCACGGCCTCCTCGCCCAGACTGTCCTCCACGCTTGGGGGTCCCAGGGCCGGGGCCGGGTCCCTCCTTGCACTTCCAGCTGCCAGTCCGGTGTTTCACTGGAACCGCAGGAGGTGGGGGCTCCGGCTTGGGGATTGTCACAGCTGCTTCTGCCACCACTACTGCTTGTTGCTTCTTCCTGCAGGGGCCTGCTGGCCGTCCTGGAGGCCGTCCCCGAGATCGGCGCGGGGTGGAGGGCTCACATGCCCGGCTCCGGGGGACTGAGGGTGCCTGGGCCCGCCGGAGAAGTTCAGTCAGTGCTTGCACCATCCGTTCTGTGCCCTCCTCGCCCCGTTTCCGGGCAGGAGTCTTGGGGGGAGTAGGAGCCGCATCTGTTAGGCGAGGAGGCGGAAGGGGGCTCATCTTATGCTTGCGGCCCCGACCTCGGGGGGCTCGACCTAAAAGGAGAATAGGTGTGGGGAGATGGGTCAAGCTAGCCCTGCCGACTGAGGAAGGCACTCCAGGAGGGCAGGGACTAAGCCTTACTTGTCTGTTTCCCCCACAGCCCAGTCTAGCTTGGGCTTTGAACACAGAACGCACTCGGTAACTGATGGAGACTCTAGTTGCACAGGGAAAAGCTAACACGGAAAGCGAGAATAACATTCCTGTAAAGCTGTAGAGGTAGAGTTTCCCCATCACTCACCTCGCTGGGATCGGAGCGCAGAGCGCAGGGAACTGGGGGCCACATCTTCATCTGAATGAAAACCCTGAAACTCCTGATTTAGGGGACCAGGGGTGGAGGGGAGAAACAGCAGTCAGTGCCAAAGCCCTTGTTCCACCTGGGACTCAGGTATCGAGGAATACCCCAGTTTTCCCTTTAATGTACCCCTCCCTAATTACAAAGAACTAAGAAGACTGGAACTAAAAAGAGTGGAAGTTGGGGGGAGTAGAAAATGGGATGTTTCCCTAGGTATGGAGGCAGAGGGAATTTTGAAACCCCACCCCCTGGCACAGACCACACCAGCCATCAGTGATTTGCTGGCCCAGAAAGGAACCTAACAGGGTCTCCGAGATCAGGTAATAGGCACGACCCTCATGTTCCCTCACACTGTAACTTGGGGTGGGGTAGCGGGGGAATGTGGGGCCTCCGTTTATGCCCTCTCAGACCAGCTTCTTTCCTGAGTGAAAATGGGAGTAGGGGCACCCAAGTAGGGTGTACCAAATGGTCTCTTATATTAGGATCCACTCTGAGCCCTCAGGTGGCCACAGACTGCCTTAATACAACCCACACCTGCCAGAAAGTCCTCTCCGACTGCATTCTATCTCTCTTCAAACCACGACCTGAAGAGGAAGCCCTCGCTCAGCCTCTCTACCCTCTCTCCACTTTAGGTCGGAAGAGGAATTGGGGCACTGCAAAAGCCAGGGATGCGTCAGAGGTTACGAGGCAGGGCGGTCAGTCTACAGGTGAGAGCCCAGAGTCCAGTCTGGATCCTCTGAAGTCATGCTGCTGCTGCTGTCAACCACCACCGGCCGGGGATGCAGTCCCCACAGCCTTCCCACCCAAACCTCGACTGCCCCCGCGGGGCCAGCTACCAGGAAGGATCAGCCCAGGACACTTCAGCAGGACCTGCCTCGGGCCCAAGCGCCCAGCTGCAGCCGGGGCTTCGCCACCGACTTCCAGACGCCCCTTCCTCCGACAGCCCCATGCAGACTACCTCCTCCCACACCTATTCCCAAGGCCCCTTCGTCTGCAGGGCCCTCGAGAACCCCTTTTCCCACGCCATCCCTCGGGGCCACCCGGACCCCTGGAAGCCCCTGGCCTCGCCCCGCCCGGCGCTGGGGACGCCTCCGACCGCCTCACCTCATCGTCGGATTCCCCGTCACTGCTCTCCTCCTCCGGCACGCAGCCCCGGCTCGGGCCCCAGCCCCGGCCCCGGCCCCGGCCCCGGCCCCGCTGAACGCGCGGGCCGGCCCACAGGCGGCGGAGCCGGCGCAGGCCCCGGCGGAGCCCCAGCAAGCGGAGCAGGGCCGCGTCCTCTCCGGGCTCGGCTCCGCCCGGCCCCGCCGCGCCGCCGCCGCGCCGCAGAGCTACCCGCACTCGCTCGGCCCCGCTGCCCCGTCCGCCGCGGCCCCCGCCCGCGCCGGAGCCCCGCGGCCGGCCGGGGAAGCGGCCCCGCGCGGAGGCAGGCCCGGGGCAACTGCCGCCGCCCGCCGCCGCCGCCATCTTGGCACCGTGAGAGGGGCCGGGGAGGCGGGGGGAGGGGCGCCCCGTGCGCAGGGCCGGGGGAGGGGAGGGCGAGGAGGGGCGGGGCGGGGCGGCTGCGGCTCACGACAACAACCAGCGCCGCGGCGGGGCCGGCGGGAGCCGGGGACAGGGCCGGCCTCGCGCGGGGCACCACGGGAACGGGAGCCCGAATCCGGTCGGCCGTCACCCTTAGACCGCGCCTGGGGAGCTCAGACCTCTCATCTCGACCCGAGAGGGTGGAGGCGCAGAGGCCGCCGGGAAATGTAGTCCAGCCCCCTCGCTCCCACCGCCGGGAGCTAGGGCCGCGAGAGCTGGCTCTATGGGGTCCGAAGGGACCCAGAAAGCCGGCTCCCGGGCAGCCGGGAGGTGTGGTTCTCGCCGCGGGCTCCTCCCATTGTTCAGGTCGAGGCCGGTGGCGCTCGGGAACTACCACTCCCAGGATGCAGTGGGCGTCGGTCCCTGGGATCCCCGGAGCCACGGGGAGCCGAAGTTCGCGACTGCGGGAGGCGTGGGCTGGGGAAGGGCCGGCGTGCGGCGTTGCCCTCGGGTCCAGGCACGCCCCGCGGGCTGTTCCGCGCAGCGCGGAGGGAATGGCCGAGAGGCCGCGGCGTTGCGACCCTTGTGCTCAGAAGAGGAGGCGGGTGACCGAAAGCACGCGACCCCCTCGAGCCCTGGGCCGGGGCGTCCAGACGCGGGCCCCGCGCGCAGTGGAAGGTCCCCCCAGGCGCGCTGCCCAGTCTGCCTCACGCCGAGCCCTCGCGCCGCTGCCTCCGGGGGAGGACAGGCAGCCCCAGTGGCTGGAGGAGGGAGCCGCCGCGCTGAGCCGGGGCCGCAGGGCCACCAGGGGCCGCTGCAGGATAAGGGCCAGGGCTGGGTACCCACCGCCGCCCCCGCGCACAGACCAAAGTGTGGACTTGGCTTTCTTGTCCTGAGAGGAGGCACAGGAAACGCTTTATTTTGGTGATGAAATCGCCAGACCCCACACAGTTAACCTTCACTCTTGCAGACTTCACTGTCTCCTCACCCCACCCGGGCTCGCTGGCCCCGGCTTCTGCGGCCTCCCGTGGTCGTCCGGGAGAGGACGCGGGTGCCCTTTTCTGCGGCGCTTCTGGGAGCAGAATTCGCTAGGCTGCCCTCGCCGCGGTGCCGGATCAGAAGCCTCGCCAGCCCGCCGACCCGTCTTTTATTGTACTCCTCACTGAGGCCAAAGAAGCTCCCGACACTCGGTCAAGTGGTGGAGGAAGGGGAACTGCAAGGAGGGGTCGAGGCCCTGGCCTGCCGCGAGGAGGAAGAGGAGGAGGAGTAGAGGAAGGTGGAGCGAATGGTCCATCCGGGCGGGAGCTGGCTGGGCGAGTGGCCGCGCATGTGCGCCTGCATGGAGGCCAGGCTGGGGCAGCCGGCCCGGCACAGAGGGCAGCGGTAGGGGGCCGCCCCGTGCGTCCGCAGGTGTTTGGTCATGGCCGAGAAGTCCCGGGAGCGCTGGGGACAGAGGCTACAGGAGAAGGGCTTCTCTCCTAGGACGGGTGGAGAGGACGCCGGTGAATGGGGGTAGATAGGGCCACCGGCCAGGGAGTTGTGCAGGAGCCAGGCACGCAGAGGGGCTCTGGGCGGCAGACTGGAGTTTGGAAGGAAGCACACAGTTGAAACTGGGCAGGGAGTCCGTACCTGTATGGACTCGGTAATGTGTCTCCATCTGATGCTTGAGTGAAAACCTCTTTCCGCAGTCAGAGCAAGAATAAGGCCGAGACCGGGCAGCAGGGGGCTGGGGAGGGTGCTGGCGAGATGGGTTGCCTGCTGTGCCCACATGACCCACGCAGGCTGCAAGTGCATCTGTGGGGATAAAGAAGGCAAAGGCGGGCAGGCCTGGGAATCCCAGAGCCAGGTCACCAGACCAGACTTCAGGGCCTCTACAGTGGGACTGAGGCAAAAGCCCGCTCCCCCTACTCACCTGTGTGCCTCTGCTTAGACTCTCTCATCTCCCCAGGACTGAGCTGTGCCAGGCTCTGGGGGAAGGATCCTGGAGGGAGCAGAATGAAGTAGGGCCCCTGCTCAGTTTGGAGTTCTGGAGCCCCAGCCCCAGAAGAGAGGCCACATTATAGGGTTCATGCAGAGCAGTGAGGGGCTTACCTGGGACTGGGTTGGAGAAGGCCAACTGGTTCTGGCTCCAGAGCCCTTTGTGGAGGTTTAGGGGTGATGGAATCCTGTGGAAGGGTCGGGGGAGAAGGGGAAGAATTACAGCCTTAGCAAAACCTGGGATCCTGGCGGAGCCCGTTCTTGGCATAGGGGTGTCCTGAGTCCCCCCCGAGCTGGGCTGTGGCTTCTTCTATGCTGGGAACTTGTCCTGTTCCCAGCTTGGGAAAGGTAGACCAGAGAAGAAATTGGGTCCTCTTTCCACCCATCACTGCTGCGTCTCCTGAGCCATTCCCTTCCAGCCTGGGAGGCCTTCACTCACCTCTGGTCCCAAGGCCAGACCTCCTGCCAGGTTCCAGGGATGGGGGTGCTATGGGAGAAAGGAGTGCCATATCTGGGCGGCAACAGCAGGAGGCTCCACAGGGCAAGCTGGCCCTCCCCCGACCAAGATGCCTCAGCCCACCAAGGCCTGGGAATGCCGCTGGTTTGCAGGGAACCTGGTGGGGGGAGGGAGCCAGGGATCCCCCAACATTCCTCAGGGCCCTCTGAACTCTCCCTCACCCACGTGATCACGTCTTGCGTCCCATCTGCTCCGCTGTGGCCAATAGAGGATTGGTTGAGTTTCTTCTCCTTGGCTCTCCTCTGCTCCTCCCGGCACTCCTGCATCGCCTCTGCCATTTTGGGGTTCTCTCTCGGTAGCCTGTGCTCACAGAAGTCCTCCTGTTCTCTCCCACCAGCTCTAACAGACTTCTCTGGCCTCTGCTTCTCCCCGCGGCCCCAGGGTTCGCTCCCAGAATTCCCTGTGAGTGTCTCTGACTCCTCCTGATGATCCTTCAGTCCTAGATCCAGGTCTTGGCTAGCCCTGGTCCTTCGAGCCTTCTTGCATGCCTCTTCCAGGGACTGCACCCCCAAGGCCCTGGCTGCCTCTTCAAGGGGCCCCAGTTCCCCAGGCTGCAGCTCAACACTCTCCCCATAAACAAAGAACAGAAGCTGGGCAAAGGTGGAAGGACTGATGCCTTTCACCAGAGTCCAGTGGCCCCTGCGGCCCAGCTGCTGGCTCACACCTGCTAGTACCAGGCTGTGGGCGGGGAACTCCTGGCTGCCCACGGTGATCAGGGTGTCACAGAGTGCTGGTCGGAGCCTGGCTGCCAGACGTACCAGCCGGTCGGAGCCGTAGGGGCTAGGCAGTCTTGTTGGGGACAGAGGCATTTTGCTTTCCTGAGGTGCCAATCTCAGAGCCTCTGGGAGATAAACTACAATGTGAGGTCCGTGGCAGAAAGGGAAGGAAGGAACAGCATATCTTCAAGCCTGTGGAGGTGAGGGAAGAGAGAGTGGCTAGTTCTGGTCCAGAACTCTCTGCCCTGAAGGAAGCAAATTTGCTAACCCCAGAAAGGGCCTGAGCTTGTCCAAAATCACAGTGGGCTGAGACCAGATTCAGGGCTGCCTGAGCAAGGATTAGGCAGTTAAAAATATCAAGGAGGGCCTCCCCAGTGGCGCAGCTGTTAAGCGCTGGGTTGCGAAGCTGCCCGCAGCCTCTGCGGCGCCGGTTCGATCCCCGGCTGCTCCCCGGCCACTGGAGGAGGATCCCACATGGCGCGCAGACCTCTCCTGCCGCCCGCTGCTCCCCTCAGCAGTGTACTTCATCAGTCTGCCTGTTCTGCTCCCCGCTCTGGCTCTGGTGAATTCTCTCACCCTCCCGCACTTCTGACTGTACCCAGTGCTTGTATAATAAATAAATAAATCTTTAAAAAAAAAAATAATCAAGGAGTGGGCCTCCCCAGTGGCGCAGCGGTTGAACACTGGGTTGCGAAGCTGCCTGCAGCCTCTGCAGCACCGGTTTGATCCCCGGCCACCCGGCGAGGGTCCCACATGGTGCGCAGACCTCTCCTGCCGCCCACTGCTCCCCTCACAGTGTACTTTGTCAGTCTGCCTGTTCTGTTCCCCGCTCTGGCTCTGGTGAATTCTCTCACCCTCCCGCGCTTCTGACTGTACCCAGCGCTTGTATAAATAAATAAATCTTAAAAATATATATATCGAGGAGTGGTCTGTGACTCAGGCAGCTGGTCCTGTCAGTGGACAGTCTCTGGCTTAGGATAGCAGACGCTGATGCTTCTGCTTCTCCGTTCCCGCAGCTACAGGAAAAAACCGAGCAGGTCAGGCTTTCCTCATTCCAGTCAGAGATCCCCCTGGCAAGGCATGACTTCACGGGAGAACTTAGAAAGCAAGTGTGTCCTCCCCACACAAACCCAGCACATGGAACTGAGGGGGGCTGAGAGGCCGGAAGGGTAGCAAGCTAGGGGTAAAAGCTGCAGTCACTAAGGCATTGATCCGTCACCTTGAGGCTGAAGCTTCTAGAACACATCCTCAAACTGGAAAGGATCAAAGGCTCCTATCCAGTGAGTTAAGACAGCAGGCACAGAAGCCCGGGGACAGACCCAAGAATGGAGAGGGATTTCTGAGGCATTGACCCTGGGAGCAAGCAGGAGAAAAGGAAACAGGAGCTGTAAAGGGAGAGGCTATTTAGATGGTTCATTTTGCTTTTTTTTTTTTTTTTAAGATTTTATTTTTATGCATACAAGAGCTGAGGTACAGGTCAGAGTTGTGGGGGGTGAGAGGATTCACCAGAGACAGTGGGGAACAGAACAGGCAGACTGACTGAAATACACTGCTGAGGGGAGCAGCGGGCGAGACAGGAGAGGTCTGCTGCGCCATGTGGGTCAGCTTCCTGGCCAGGGATCGAACTCTTGCTGCAGTGGCTGTGGTTAGTTTCATAGGTTGCATCTTAACCCCTTGCGCCACCAGGGAGGCCCCAATTTTGCCTTTTTATGAGCCAAAAATGAAGACTAGAAAAACAATCCAACAAGGCAGAAGTTTATTACACATCAAAACCACCGCATTGGCTTTTGAGAACAGAACTGGGAACCCAGATACACAGAGACAGACCTAAGCATTAGTGCCCAGCAGCAGGTGCGTTCCCAGGTGTGGGCACATGGTGAGTGAGGTGGGAGGATTACTACTTGGGCACCCCAGGGGGAGAGCTACAGGTTGGCAGGAAGCGGACAGAAAGCAGTGCAATGGGAGAAGAGTCTCTGCTGGAGACCAGCAACTACTCACCGGGTGTAGTTTCCTCCTGGACACCATTTGCTCTGATCTGCTGTTGGGGCGCCTGGGCACCCCTTGGAGCTAGCCCCGCCCTTGACCTCACAGTCTTCCATTGGATGTCCCAAGTATCAGTCTGCTGTAGTTCCCCCCAAAAATGGGTGTGGTTTTATACCCCTGACTTTGTGACACCCCTCCAGGAGAGGCCACCCCCTCCATTTCTAGAATGCAGCCCCCTTCTGCCTTCTAAGCCCTGTGATTCATCCATGAGTTCGAGTCACAGTGATCTGCGGCAACAGGAACTTTGGAGTAATCACACCTGCATTTGAGTCTCAGCTCTGCCATTTACTGACTAGTTGAGTCATCCTGGACAAGTCACTCTCTGAGCCTCAGATATCCCCTCCACGAAATAGGGACACCCTCTGCGTACCTCACTGGAGGCAGGGGTGAAGATGGCGTGATGAAGGTGAAAGTGGGGTGCTGGTCCATCGCCACATTCAGATCATTCCCGTTTGGGCGCTCAGAGGTGTCTGCAGCGCTCTCGAGCTGTTTCTTATTTACACCTCAGGTCAAGAGAAGCCGAATCCCAAGGAGAGTCAAGCGGGACAAATGTACACCTGCTCCTGCCTCTCCCTGCACGGGTACCCCGGAGCCCCAACTGCTCTGCAGGAGGGACCCCTGCCATTTGGGTCACCGCTGGGGACTGGGTGTGTGAATGACTCAGATCCTCCCACCAAGCTCTGGAGGGGCAACCCCAGGAAGGACCTGCGGTGGTCTTCGAAGAGAAGAAACTTCTCTGGGTTGATGATAAATGACATTTCTCTGAAATCAGAACTCCGGGGTTTCTTTCACTTCCTGCCCAATGGGTCAAGGTCCCCAGAGTTTCCCCCTCTTTAGCATTCTTTAACCTGAGGAATGGAGGCAGGGGAGATGCAACTCCTTTTTCTGTTTCTTACTATCCTATTCTCTCGCATCCTGAAGCACATCCTTCATTCATTCGTTAAATGTTGACAGATCATTCCGTGCCTGTCCTCCATGCCCAGCAGCGCCTCCAGAATATTCGGTGCAGCCTTCCAGGCGCTCCCTCCAGCCCCGAACTGCCTTGCCTCCCCTCTCATTCTAGCTTGGGTGCAGGCAGCTGCGGCACCTTCCTAGATCAGACAGGGTGCTCCAGTGGGTGGGGCCGATGGAGGGGCAATAATAGGGTGGGGAGAGGGGAAGATGAGTCAGAATGAAAGGGAAAATGCAAATTGGCAGACTGTGTTCATTTGCTACCCTGAACGTTAACTATTTTCCATTTCTGAGCTTTCTAACCCTCACAGTACCACACCCAGGGACTCACTAGACTCGGATATAAAAAACACTCGGGCCTGGCCACAGAAAATCTCCTGCCCCCGCCATGCAGGATCCAGCTGGAACCAGCTTTTCTCCGACACACTCACAGTCCCTGCAGATGGGGAGTAAGGGGGGGTTGGGGGGGGAAGCCATGAGGGAGAACCCCCAAGTAGGCAAGGAAAGGCACAGGGGTCTGGCAGGTGACATCACCCGCCAGTGGAGTGTGGCCCTCGCCCCCAGCACTGCATCATGTGCCTGTGACTCAGATCACCCCCGTGCGGCTGGCCCGCTGATGATCAAGAGAGCTGGAAACTGCTCAAAGGGCAGCTCCTCCCGAAGGCAAGTGTAGTTAACGGGGTGTCATCAGCCTTTCAGGGAACCTAGGAGGGAGGAGAAGGGGCAGGGGGACTCCCCACTCGGTGAGCAAAAGCCCCCGACAATGGGAAACCCCATCTTCGTGTCTACCTCATCTAAGGATATCCCTTTAGAGATCGCCGCCTCAGAGCTGGGGCTCGACACTTCAGCGCTTAGGCTGGTGACACACTCGGCCCCCCTCTTCCCACATTCTTTTTTTTTTTTTAAAGATTGATGCATACAAGAACTGGGGTACGGGCCAGAGGTGCGGTGGGGGTGTGTGTGTGTGAAAGGATTCACCAGAGACAGAGTGGGGAGCAGAACAGGCAGACTGACTGAAATACACTGCTGAGGGGAGCAGCGGGTGAGCCAGGAGAGGTCTGCTGTGCCATGTGGGTCAGCTCCCTGGCCCTGGATCGAACTCATGCTGCAGAGGCTGAGGACAGCTTCACAGTGCTGTACTTAACCCTTGCGCCACCAGGAAGGCTCCTCTCCCCACACTGTTGGTATCACAGACCAAGCCATCCTATACTGAGCGGTGATGGCAGAAGCAGAGCCAAGTAGCACTCGACTTCGAAGGGTAGGGACCAGCTGACTTACTGTATTTGTCCTTCCCCGGTCTCAGAAACCTTGCCTACCTTCCTCTTCCCAAGCTCACTCGGTAGGAATCTCCAGCATCCTCTCACGGGTGGAGCAGGAAGGGGGACGCAGGGCAGCTTCCTGGGGCTGCGGGAGCTGCTGTGGGTGGGAGAGATCAGGTAGGACATGATTGAAGAGAGGTGGAGGATAGAGGTATGGCTTTTGCTTCTCAGTCCTTTCCAGTACTCATGTTACTAAATAAAGTTTGAAATTGGATATTTTAAAATTCTTCCTGATAGGCTTGACCAATGGGACAGCAGGGGAAATGTGTGGGGTGCTCGGTGCACACGCTGCTTGCAACTGAGAGCTTCCTAGGAGTCCTGAGCTCCTTGTAGCCCAACCCAGCTTGGTGTAAAAATGTCAACACAGTGGTACAAGCAAGGATTCTCTTTTTTTGACGGTTATCATTACTTTTTTTTCTATAATAAATTTTATTTTTATATTCCCCATACAATTGCAACCCCCTTATTTTGACCCCAATCTCTCCCCTCCCGCCCCCTACCCCCTATAGACTGTCTCTGGTTCATAGTTTTTTGTTGATTTTGATTTTCACTTTCTTATAGTTATTCTTTTTCCTGGTCCCTTATTTAAGTTTTCTAGATTCCTGCTATGAGTGAGACCATCCGGTATTTTTCTTTTTCTTTCTGGCTTATTTCGCTGAGCATGATCCCTTCCAGCGCCATCCATGTTGCTGCAAATTGCATGTGTTTATCTTTTTTGAATGCTGAGTAATATTCCATAGTGTATATGTGCCACATCTGCTTGATCCAGTCATCTATTTTTGGGCATTTGGGTTGTTTCCAAAGCTTAGCTATTGTAAACAGTGCTGCTCTAAACATAGGGGTGCAGGTGCTCTTTGGAATGGATGTTTCTGTGTCCTTTGGGTAAATACCTAGGAGTGGAATTGCTGGATCATATGGAAGCTCTATGTTTAGTAGGTCCAGAAATCTCCACACAGCTCTCCACAGTGGTTGGACCAGTTTGCACTCCCACCAACAGTGCAGGAGAGTTCCTTTTTCTCCACAACCTCACCAACATTTGTTGTTGCTAGATTTTTTAATATGTGCCATTCTCACTGGTGTAAGATGGTATCTCATGGTACTTTTGATTTGCATTTCCCTGATTACAAGTGATGTTGAACATTTTTTCATAGGCCTGTTGGCCATTTGCATTTCCTCTTCAGAGAAGTTTCTTTTTAGCTCTTCTGCCCATTTTTTGACTGGGTTATTTTCTTTGTTGTTGTTGAGTCTCATCAGCTCTTTGCAGATTTTTGTGATCAGTCCTTTATCATTAGTGTTGGGTGCAAAAATGTTCTCCCAGTTGGTGGGGTTTCTCTTTGTTTTTGTTATTGTCTCTTTTGCTGTGCAGAAGCTCTTTAATTTGATGTAGTCCCAGCTGTTTATCTTTGCCTTCACTATCACTGCTTTGGGTGATGTGTCTGTAAAGATGTCTTTGATGTGCATATCATTACATTACATCTTCAAAGTAGATGACCTTTTCCTTCAGCCCCAATATAGGGCTAACTCTTCCCAGACCCTCAATTTTCCTCACAGGGGCTGTTTTCAAGACCAGTACTGCATAGTGATATTGAACTAAAAACTCCCCTGGCTGTATCCCTTCCTGTGGGCTGAGGAACCCATGAGCTTCTAGGAGGTACCTACCTGAAACTTGTGCCCCCCCAATACTAGACCATGCTCTGGGAACTTGGAACCCTGAATCTCCTGGCCCATGTGGCTTTGAGCAACTTCTAGGGCCCCACAGAGTCTATTCATTAGACTATATTTTACCATGTTGCTGATGCACATGCCCAGGGCTCTGATCGTGGGAGTGGCACTTAGACCAGGCGTGGGTGTGAGATATCTTGAAATGTGCGCCACCAGGTGTGAGTAGCAATAACAGGAACCTGCTTTATTCTTTTTTGTTTGTTTGTTTTATGCATACAAGAGCTGGGGTGCAGGCCAGAGGTGCAGGGGGTGAGAGGATTCACCAGAGACAGAGTGGAAAGCAGAACAGGCAGATCTACTGAAATACACTGCTGAGGGGAGCAGCAGGCGAGACAGGAAAGGTTTGCTGCACCATGTGGGTAGCTCCTTGGCTGGGGGTAGCTTCATAATGCTGCAACTTAACCCCTTGCACCACCAGGGAGGCCCTGAGCCTGCTTTATTCCAATGGTTCTTAACCTCTTAGAGAAGAACTATCTCTTTGGAAAGGTAAGACATGGAATCAGAAATTGCAGACACTCATGCCATTTTGCATATGAAGACAAGAGATTCCTAGATCACTCTGGAGCCCAATCTTGGACAAGTTACATACTCACTGCTTATTCTTGTGGCTGTTTTGCACTCCTGCCCCCTAATACAACATGCACAGTACCTATGATTTCCAGGTACCCACCCTTGCACCACCAGGTGTGACAACTCATGGACCACTCCTTTGCATCCCCACCCTGGTTTAAGAACTCTGGGTGTACATGAGAGCACTATGAAAGCCTTCCTACCATGCAGAGCTTGAATAGCTGGGTGAAATGAGTTATTAACATTCTCTATCTCATAAATACAAAAAGATCCTTGGTAAAAGACAACCCAAAGAGCAGATATCTTACCTCTCCCGGTGCTTCAGTACAGCATCCATCTTCCCCATGTACCTGCTCCCTGCTTACAGCCTCCTACCACCTGGGAATGCCCAGAAGAAGTTTAGGGAAGGGGGGAGGGACTGAAAGACCCCAGACATGTCCCAATACAGGTTCTATTTAGAGCCACAGGTTCTATTTAGAGTCCATCCAGAAGAACAGGATGGACCTGCCCAGGTTGTGCAACTGGACCCAATCCTGGAAAATCTGCCAAGAGCACCTCAGCCCAGAAGCCTGCAGCCAGTCTTGCAGCCCCCCACTTCCCAGCATTGCTTAGATGCAACGGCCCTTGACAACCTCCCATTAGGCTTCTGACCTCATCAATGCTCATTCTTAGCCCAGGCTGGGTGCAAAGCCCCCACCTCCTTCCCCAAAAGCTCCTTAAGGGCACAGTTTTACCTCACAACCCGATCATCTCTGCAGTCACAGGCTTCTCCCAGCCACCTGATCCAGACTCAGTCCAGAGATGCCAGAGAGACTCTGCTGTGCAGAGACCACACCTCATGGCCAGGGACCCTGCAGAGCTCCACGGGCTTCCCACTACCCCGCAACATACTCCCAAGTCAGCCTGGTCTCAGACATCATGCATCACCTCACAGGGCACTCAGGCCTGGTCTCTGCCCGGCCGGGGCTGAAAGGTGTCCGCAGGCCCCATTTCTAGTCTCTCCAGGACAGAGATTCCCCAGATCCTCAAGCCCTCTCAGCCCTCACTTTCCGACCTTCACAGCGACCCCCTCACGCCTCCACAGCCCAGCTTTGCCTGGACCAGGTCCAAGCCGGAGGGAGGTAATCAAGGAAAACCATGGCACTCACCAGCGCTGTCCCTGCTCCTCTCCTTTTTCAGCCTCATACACCCAGGGTGCTGCAACCCGAGTGACCACTAGCAAGTAGGGAGCGCCCCAGGCCAGGGACACCAGGCCTAGCCCATGCTCAGCTTGTTCTTCGCGCCTGGAGCCCAGGACAGACGCTGGCTGGCTGCAGCGCTTCTCCTGCCGCGGAGGGCCGAGCTGCCCCTGCCAGCGGCTGGCAAGGCAGCGCCCTGTCCTCGCGCCTGCCTCGTGCGCGCCGCTGATTGGCCGAGGAGCTCGCGCCCCTGCTCCCCGACTGGCGGAGGGGCAGGGCCTTGAGTCTGATTGGTCCGCAGACTCAGGCTTTAGCCAATGAAGCTGAGAGTTCACCCTTCCGCCCGCCCCCGGCGCGAACAGCTGTCCACCTCCCACGTGGAGACGCCGGGTCTCAGCCTCGCCTTCCCCATCGCCTTGGGGGCGCCCTCTGCATGTGCTCCGGGGTACCCCGCCTTTCTTGCTTCTGTCCTGCCGCGCTAACAGCCCCCCGCAGTCTGCGGAGGGGCGTGTGGGGCCGATCGGCCTCGAGAGCCAGCCAGGCTTCCGGCCCCCGTGGGGAGCCCCGTCCCCTCCCCCTGCCCTGCGTGGCCACCGACGGGCTGCAGGGAAGCTTAGGGGGCAGGGGCGGCCCGAGGAGTCAGTCCCTCGACCCGCGATTGGCCTAGATGCTCGCGCCGCAAATTTCCCCTGGACGCCGCCGCTGCCGGCCGAGCCAAAGGGACGCGGATGCGCGTCCCAGCCCCGAGCTCGGCTCCCTCCCCCCGCCGTCGAGAGGAATGCCCAGTGCGTCGCCCGCCATTCATTGGCCTGGGGGCTGAGCCGGGCGGGCAGGCTCCGGGGGGAGGGAGGGTTGCGGGGCTGCCTGGAGGCGAGCTGGTGCCACGCCCGCCGCGGCCCGCCCCCCCCCCCCCCGCCTCCAGCCAGGTTGCGGTGGCAGCGCGGATTGGCTGGCCCGACTGTCTTCTACGGGGCTTACCGGGCTCGCTCTGGGGCGCATCCAATGAGGCGAGAGGGCGCTTCGAGGAGGCGGGCATTACTCCACCGCTTCCGCTTCTGATTGGTTCCAAGGCTTGCTCCCCGCCTTTGATTGATTAGAGGGCGCGCCGCCTGATCCAGTCCAAAGGTGCAGGAGGGTGTGAGGTTGCGGTGCCCTCGCCTGGGCTCCGCGCCTCCGCCCCGAGGCTTGCTGTGCGGGGCTACCCATCCCCCGCCACGCAGCTGCAAAACTGGCGGGAGCAGGAGAGAGGAGTCCGGGACAATAACCCGAAGTCGGGATTGAGCAAACCCCGAGAAAGTAGGGGAAAGGCAGGCGCTGGGGGTGTAGCAACAAGCGGTCCCGCTGACCGGACCTTCCCGGACCACCGGTCCTAAGAAGCTTGTGGGGCACGCGACGGCCCGCCGCCCTGCGGGCTGACAGCCGAGGGGCAGCGCCAAGGCTCTTATCTCGGGTCGGACGCTGACCTTGTGGCGCTGGGCGAGGTGCAGGAGGAAGGGCTGCTGACGCGGCTGGAGGTTGGATGGCTAGATCCGGAGAAATAATTAATGCTGATTGAGCAACTCCCCCACGGCACGCCCTGTGGAGTAAGTGCTGAGAGGTAGCCAGTCTTGTTTGTGGTTAAGATCATGGACACTGATTCCACACTGCCTGGATTCATAGCCTGACCTTTAGCAAGTGACTTAAGCTCTCTGACCTCAGCTTCCTCACCTGTAAAATGGGGGAGAAGACAGTAAAAAGCTCTCAGGACTGTTAGAGAGAACTGAGCAAGAGAACAGTTCTATTTCTTCTATTTCCCAGTGCCCTGACGCTGAGTTGTTTCCTGTCTTGAGTGAGTAGACACGGGTGTAGACACTGAAAATTTAGCTCAGATATTTGTCACTGGAAAGTCTGGGGGGACGTGTGTTCCTGAAAGAGATAGTAGCAAGGCCCTGGGGCAGGAATGAGCTTAGTTATGTTTGAGGTACAGCAAGAGGTCCACCTTGGGGGCCTCCCCGGTGGTGCACTGGGTTAAGCCCCGCACTGTGAAGCTGTTCGCAGCCTCTGTAGAGCGGGTTCTATTCCCAGACGGCCAGGGAGATACCCCCATGGTGCGGCAGACCTCTCCCATCTCTCCTGCTGCTCCCCTCAGCAGTGCTTTCAGTCCGTCTGCCTGTTCTGCTCCCCACTCTCTCTGGTTAATCCTCTCACCCCCGCCTCCCGCGCCTCTGGCCTGTACCCCAGCTCTTGTATGCATAAATAAATAAATCTTTAAAAAAAAAAAAAAAAGGAAGTCCACCTGGAGCTAGGCAGGCAAGTAAGAGCAACTCAGTCAGTTCCGTGAGAAAGCATGAATTTTTTCATGTTTTCCATCAATCTTTTGCTTGGATTCAGTAGGCTCAAGGAGATGCTGCAGAGGTGGCCGGTTAGTGTGCAGAGTCACACTAACTGGTGTGACTCCTGCTGGTCACAGTTGGGGGGTAACAAGAACAAGGCTCTGGAATCCCAAGAGCCATCCCTCACTCCTGCAAGTGTCCCTCCAGCTCCCCCTACTGACTACTCCTAACCTCTGCTCGCTGATTAAAGGACCTAAGAAACAATAAATTGCTAACTGGCACAGGGGACACCCTGGCCACTGATTGTAATAAAACGACAGAGGTGGCAATTTATTGGCAACGTTGAATTATCAGTTTTTTCTGTGTCATTTATCTCTGAATAGTCAGGAGGAAGGTTGATGGGTGGGCTGATTTAATCTGAATTTAATTTTAACATGAAACTTAACATGAAATTTAATATGAAATTTCATTTTAATATGAATTTAATTTTATATGAAACAACTGGGTGCTTCAGCCTAAAAATATTTGACAGCCCTTGTTCTTGTGTTTCGAATCTTTTATTTCTGAAACATTCAAACACTGAGTAGTGATAATTATCCATCTTGTTTGCAAAATGAATATTTGTTGAAACATGTACAGTTTTAAGTGTTTGCTGATCAAAGTGTGTACATACTTTTCAATAATTAACTTCATCGGTTTATATTATTTGGCTAGAAATTGCCACTTTTTTAAGATTTTTTTTTTTGTTTATTTATGTATACAAGAACTGGGGTGTCGGCCAGAGGTGTGAGGGGTGAGAGGATTTGCCAGTCACAGTGGGGAGCAGACAAGGCAGATGGGATCCTCTGCTGAGCCATGTGGGTCAGCTCCCTAGCTGGGGATCAAACTCAGGACACAGTGGCTGGTGATAGCTTGATAGTGCTGAGACTTTAACCCCTGTGTCACCAGGGAGGCCCTAAATTGCCACTTTTAATAAATGCGATGTTTAGGTACAGCAGACCTCTCCTGTCTTGCCCGCTGCTCCCCTCAGCAGTGTATTTCAGTCAATCTGCCTGTTCTGCTCCCCACTCTGTCTCTGGTGAATCCTCTCACCCCCCACACCTCTGTCCTACTCCCCAGTTCTTGTATGCATAAATAAATAAATCTTTAAAAAAATGCAATGCTAACTTTTTTTAAAGATTTATTTATTCAAGCGCTGGGTACAGTCAGAAGCGTGAGAGGGTGAGAGGATTCACCAGAGCCAGAGTGGGGAACAGAACAGCCAGACTGACGAAATACACTGCTGAGGGGAGCAGCGGGCGGCAGGAGAGGTCTGCGCGCCATGTGGGAGATTCACTGGTGGCCGGGGATTGAACCGGCGCTGCAGAGGCTGCGGGCAGCTTCACAACCCAGCGCTCAACCCCTGTGCCACCAGGGAAGGCCCCCCCAAAAATGCAATGTTTAAAGAGAAAGTTTTGCTGCCAAAAAGAAAAAAAAGTGCCAACTCCTCCCAGCTCCCAGTCTGGGTCTATTGGGTGGGGTTGACTCCATCCCTTCTCCAAGGCAGGCACATGCCCGGCAGAAGAACAAGCAACACTCTCCCCAAACCCCTACATGGAGTGGGATGGCTGAGCATCCATCAAGAACAATGGGAAACAAACCAGAGTCGGGCGCCATGCCACCACTGGAAGCTAACGCATCCCATCAGCATGTGATTATGGTCTTGAAACACTCTGCCTCCCATTGTCATACTGGTTTTCTCTGTCCTCCCTCCAGAAGGTAAACTTCATAAAGGGAGAGAGTGAAGTCTGATCTGTTCCCTGCTGCGTGCCCAGTACTTAAGAGACTGCCAGAAGCACATGCTAAGCAAGCAATAAATATCTACGCACAAATAAATCAATGATGTTCACATTTTACTGGATAGCCACAATTTTGCCACCTAGCACAGGACAGACACAGCCTATCTCATCGTAGCTTCCTGGGTCTCTAGTTCCTGGGGCATAGGGTGTCCTGGACGTTGTCTGTATAAGATAGGTTCTCAGCAGGTCTGGAAAGTTCCATTCTAATAATACACAGTCCTTGAGTACTCAGGACTCTCACTTCCCTGTTCTGGAAGACCTTACAGACCAATGTAAACTTTCCCATAAACTCTAAGGGAGGGTAACCCACATTGGACTCTGGTTCTCACCCACGATGAGCAAGGCCACATCGGGGAGCCAGCAGAGACAGCCCCCAATTTCCTGAAGACCTCTACTGCCCCCCGGGTTTCCTCCCTTCTGAGAATTCTGTTCTCTGCTGTTTGCGCTGCCTCTGACTCAGAACCCATTTAGCTCAGTGGTTCTAAGGGAACCATGATCAAAATTACACTTCAGGGCCTCGTTGGTGCCACAGGGGTTAAGCATAGCACTGTGAAGCTGTCCACAGCTACCACAGCAGGATTTTGATCCCTGGCCAGGGAGCTACCCACATGGCACAGCAGACCTCTCCTGTCTCGCCTGCTGCTCCCCTCAGCAGTGTATTTCAGTAGCTCTGCTTATTCTGCTCCCCACTCTGTCTCTGGTGAATCCTCTCACCTCCCACACCTCTGGCCTGCACCCCAGTTCTTGTATGCATAAATAAATCGTTAAAAAAATTACACTTCCACACAACCTGTGAAATGTTGGGTTACCACTGTTGAACACATTTTGATAGATTCAGTGAGTTGGCCCTCTGGTCGCCTGAACATTTTGTGAGTTGATTTCAAGTGAAACCAACTAGTTTCTAGTTGCCTTACCTAGTGCCATTCCTCAGCCCGGTGTGATTTCTCTCTAGAAGCCCAATTCTGAAATAACACCATAGACAAAATATTTAAAATAATGACACTGGATATTCTGAAAACAAACAAACACATGATACAACTATGAGTATAAATGGTTTATTTTTATTTATTATTTATTTATTTTTAAAGACAGCTGTGGGTTGTTTTTTTTTTTGAGATTTATTTATTTATATAAGAACCAGGATACAAGCCAGATTCATGGGAGGGTGAGAGGATTCACCAGAGACAGAGTGGGGAGCAGAATAGGTGGACTGACTGAAATACACTGCTGAGGGGAGCAGCAGGCAAGACAGGAGAGGTCTGCTGCGCCATGTGGTACCCTCACTGGAGGGCCGGGATGGAACCAGCACTGCAGAGGCTGCAGATAGTTTCACAGTAAGGCGCTCAACCGCCTGCCCACCAGGGGAGGCTCACGAGTTCCCTTCTGATGTGTTTTGACTGTTTCTCTGTTGTTGCTTTTCAGTTACCTTTGTACAAAGGTCTCTGCACAGAGTTGTAATTTTTTAAAGATTTTATTTATTTATTTTTGCATAGAAGAATTGGGGTGTAGGCCAGAGGTGGGGGTAGTGAGAGAATTCACCAGAGACAGAGTGGGGAACAGAACAGGCAGATTGACTGAAATACACTGCCGAGGGGAGCTGTGGGGGACAGGAGAGGTCTGCTGTGCCATGTGGATCAGCTCCCTGGCCGGGGATGAAACTCAGATCCTCTTGATGGAAGTGCTGAGACTTAACCCCTAGGCCACCAGGGAGGCCTGAGTTTTACATGTCAGTGAATAAGCCCACTTGTCCTCACAGAAGGTGTGGAAGCAACAGCAGATGGTGTCGGCGGTATCTCTGCCTGGTTGATGGCTATGGAACATTACAGCTCATTCTTTCCATTTCGTGATCTCAGGTGGTGAGAGAGAACTTGGCTCCATGGGGCCGGAGAAAAAGAGAAGCCTGGAGAGGTGGTGAACCAGGCTGCACGGGCCCTTCATGAAGTGCCAGGGTGAGCAGCTGAACTTGGCAATGAGGGTGCTGGGGAGCCAGGGAGGCTGGACTGAGTGGTGTAGGGGTGCAGGAGGAACAGCCACAGAATGGCTGCTTCTCTCTTGGGTGCTCCTGACAGTCCCCATCTGGCCCTCCTCTCTTTGCTCCCCTCTCACCCAGAGGAATAGGGCTCTAAGCTGAGGGGTCAAGGCAGACAAACCTGTCTTACCAGGTGAGCCCTGGTCAGGCCACCTTGCTGCTAGTCAGGCTGAAACGCACTCTGCAGGCATGTGGTCAGCGGGAGCCACAGAGAACAATGGCTGATGTGGAGCAAAGGTGGAGGCCTGCCTGCCTGTGGCCCAGAAGCCAGCTTGACCCCAAGCCCCCAGCACCTGGTAAGGCCTGATCTGTATTAATTGCTCAGGTAAAGTTTAAGATTGTTGAGCTGAAAGATTCTTTTCTCAATGCACATTTTATGTCTCACAGTGACATTTTTATTAACATTTATTTCTTGATTTTTGTTGGAGGAGAAAAGCCATCATCATCACAGAATATTTGGAAAATAGCCAAAAGCCCAAGGAAGGAAATAAAATCCCTTCCAAGTGTCTCCTCTTCCTTAGTAACTAAGTTATCCTTTGGGAAGCTTTGTTTGCTTTATCACTTAATGCAAATACCCACCTTTTTATCTTTTTTTTTTTTTTAAAGATTTATTTAATTATGCATACAAGAACTGGGATGTAGGCCAGGGGTGTTGGAGTGAGAGGACTCATCAGAGCATAACAGGCAAATCTACTGAAATCCACTGCTGAGGGGAGCTGCAGGCGAGACAGGAGAGGTCTGCTGTGCCAGGGGATCAAACTCATGCTTCAGAGGCTGCGGATAGCTTCATAGTGCTGTGCTTAACCGCTTGTGCCACCAGGGAGGCCCGGGTCTGGCTAGTTTGACCTGTAAGGACTGGCGATCTTTGTAATGACTGCCAATTGGCCGTGTCCCTACCTCTGGTTTCTGTCTTTCCTGTCCCTTAGCTGGATCTTCCATAGTTGGTTCGATGACTTGTTAAATGTTTCTACCCCCACCTCTGCTTTCTGGCTTTATGAAGCTTCCAGGCTAAGTTTTCTACTCTAAGCTTCCATCAGTTACAGGAACACACTGATTTTATGCATATAAATCACTATTAAGTATTTACATTCATTAAAGATCCCCCCACACACACTCCTACCCTCCCACAATAAAGCTAACGCTAACCCTAATGGCTGCCAAGCCCAGGGTTTGAACATCTCTCAGTGAAAATATCAAACATTTTGAAGTATGATTTTACTTTTCTAAGTGCAAACTTTTCTATGTGAGTCACTTTGGCATATCCGGCTTCTGTATATTAAGGATGCTGGAACCCCAAAAATTTGAAATTGGAGTTCACCTAAGACAGTTGCAGCCTCAGCAGGCAGTTTCTTTGGGCATTTGATTCAGATTATACATAATGGGGAAAATTTCTGATTCAGAATAGAAATGTTCTTAGAACGTGTTACTGCCTAGGCCATGAGGCAGGGACTGGTCGGACCCCCATTTTGCAGGTGGGCCCATTGCTGCTCAGAGAGTGGGCAGGGACTGGTGAGAATCCAGCAAGGGCTCTTGGCCTCTCTCAGAGAATGGAGGAGGGGATCATAGACTAGGTTGCTGTGACCTTGCTCCTGAGGATTTATCTGGATTTAAAAGTAGATTAGAATGGAATCCCCCTCGCCTTGACACATTTACAAGTTGGCCAAATATGTGCCCTGAATGGGGGAGAAGTTTCATTCCAGGGATGGCAGAAAAACCAGTTAGGTTGGTTGGCCTGGAGCAAATGTGTGTTAAAATATGGTAGGTATAATATCTAAGTGGTGTTTTAAAAATTCTGGCTTGAAAAGTACAGCTGTATGTTGTTTAGAATTTTAGCAACCCCCCCCTTTTTTTTTGTCTGTTTTTGAGAAGTTATAGATGATTTTCATAATTTTCTCCCAGACATCGTAAACCATCTATTCAAAGCTATATATGGTGAGAAAATGCTCCTCAGCTCTCCATTCCCATTCCTGTCCTCAAAGGAGTGCATCATAGGAAAGATATATATATATATATATCATATAAAAATGCAATCACTTAGGGCCTCCCCTGGTGGCGCAGTTGAGCGCTGGGTTGCGAGGCAGCCGGCAGCCTCTGCAGTACCAGTTCGATCCCGGCCACTGGCAAGGGTCCCACCAAAAAAAAAAAAAAAAAAAAATGCAATCACCTAAACATACTGACCTCCTCCTCATCTTTTTAACCTAACAACAGGCCAGGATGATCTATGATCTACTGCATATCTCTACTCTGTGATACCTTGCAGCAATTAAAAAAAAAAGGCAAAGGACCTCCCCAGTGGCACAGTGAGTTGAGCGCACTGCTGTGAAACTGTCCTCAGCCTCTGCAGCACCAGTTCGATTCCTGGCTGGCCAGGGAGCTACCCACATGGCGCAGCAGACCTCTCCTGCCTCGCCCGCTGCTCCCCTCAGCAGTGTGTTTCAGTCAGTCTGCCTGTTCTGCTCCCCACTCTGTCTCTGGTGAATCCTCTCACCCTTCTGTACAGCTGGCCTGTATCCCAGCTCTTGTATAGATAAATAAAATCTTTTTTTTTTAAAAAAAGGTAAATTCATAAAAACTGACATGTGAAATTGTCCATAATAAGAAAGCAAGTTGCAAAGCCATTATTTAAAGCACAATTCTATTAAAAGTTGTGTGCTTACATAGGTACATACAGAGGCAAAGATATAAAATTTTGCAAGGTCAAAGAGAACATTTATCACGTGTGAATCACAGTTACCTAGGGGGTTGGAACAGGCTGAGGGAGCACTTGCTGGGAAGTGGAACTTGGGACAGGACTTCAATTGACACCAAAGATAAGCCAGGAATCCAAGTGCAATGAAGGGGTTGAATCTGTGAGGGTTTGCACACAGGCATCCAAGGGTTTCAGGACACCCCCATGTCCCAAGAGAGCTCAGAAACCTGGTCAAAGAAATGTGACTTGGAAGGAGGGAAGGGTGAGGGAGATGGGACAGGGAGAGGTGAGGGCCCCCAAGGCCTCCGGGCAAATAAGGGGGTGGAGAGGAGGCTGAGGTGTGCCTTTGGCCTTCTCTTGTTCCTCACAGCGTGGTGTAGAAATACATGGCCAGCAGCATCACTGGGAGCTGGATGAGGAGACAGTCAGGGGAGGGGTGCCCCAGGCCCCACCCACATCCCACCCAGCCCATAGGCTCCCCACTTCTCACCGTCCACATCAGGATGGCAAACCCAAACCACGAGATGCCCCACGTGTAGCTGTCGATGGCATGGCCAATGTGCTCGAAGCAGCCCTGTATGGAGGGGAAAGGGGCTGAGAAAATGCCCAGGGAGGGGGCAGCTCAAGCAGGGCAACCTGTGACTTCCTCCTAGAGCCTGGGTTTCCTCACCAGCTCATAGGGGGCGGGGGGTGTCACAGCATCCCTGCCTCCCAGGGATGCCAGACCCAGCCCTGGGCAAGATGGGGCTGCCCTGGAGTGGCCAGGAAGGTCTGAGGGTGATTTTGTTTAGAGCCGTGGCCACCAAGTTCCCAGGGTTTGAAGAACATCTAGAGATGGGGCCCAGGAGGCCAGAACTCCACACCAGAGTCCCTCATGGCAGGCCCTGGCCTGACTTGGAAGGAGGAAGAACAAAGGCTCAGGGTGTGAGTCTTGGGGGCTAGTTGTTGACCGTGTGAGCCTCTGAACCTCAGTTTTCTGATGTGCTAAATGGCCATCTCCACAGCCTGCTGCCCCAAAGCAGTGTGGGGATCCCGTGAGAGGGTGTATGTGAGCACTCGGCAGAGTCGGGGGGCTGCCCACTCTGGTGGTTTGGGTGGAGGGTCAGCCCAGCTTTCCCACCCTGTCGGGAGCTAAGACCTGCGCTGAAGGGCCCCCAGGCAGCCCCCAGGGCAGGTTCTCCTCTGCCCTCACCCCCATCCACCTGCAGCCTTGGGGGGGGGGTGGAAATCGGGGGTGGGGGGAGAGAGAGCCTGAAATCAAATCCCAGCTCCACCCTCACTATCGAGTGATCTCTCAGTCTCACTGTCTGTGAAACGGGGTCATTATAGTCTCTACCTCACAAGGCTGTGGTGAGAATGAAACAAGATAACAGTGAAAGCGGGCACAGAGGAGCGGCCCGGATTCCAGGCCTGCTGCCTGAGCTGCGTGATTATCACGGCTCTTATTTCCCGACAAGCTGAGATGACCACCTGAGAAAAGGTGCAGGCGTCGGGATCTGGGTCAGAGGCCCTGAGTGCCTCCTCCAGACTTGCAGAGGGAAGAGAGCTGAGAGAGGCAGAGAGGGGAGAGGAGGTGGTAAGGGTGACATGCACATGGCGGGAGGGAGGAAGAGACACGAGCAGGGAGGGGCAGAGGCCAGAGGGGCCGGGACAGCAGACAGACAGCTGCAGCGGGCTGTTCACACACCTTGGTGAACAGGTAGTCCAGATGGCCCAGGCGGCAGCCTTCTTCACTGAGGGGGATGAAGTTGCCCGTCCTGCGACAGCACAGCGGTGGCCAGGGGGACACCACCTCCGGGGTGGCCGCCCGGAAGGCCGATGTGAAGTTCACCCAGTCCATGGGGCCAGATGTGCCGCAGCACTGTTGCTGGAGAGAAAGTCAGGGGTCAGGCGGCCTTTGGCTTGGAGGGGACTGTTGCTCGAATGCTGTCACCCTCGAGGCACCGTGTGACCGCGTGTGTGTGAGTGGGGATCAGACGACATTTGTCCCAGCACCAAGAGGCTGCTGGGGGGTTGGGATCAAACCCACATGTGATTTGTCTTGGAATTCTTTTGAATCAGCTCTCTAAGAAAGCAGCTTCTGGAACCTAGCGGCCCAGATTTGAAACCTCCTTGCTCTGTGACCTCGTGCAAGTCACTCAAACTCTTGCCTCAGTTTCTTCTTGCTAAGGAGCCCATTGGCACCACCATCTTCACCATTTTGGTTGAGCCAGCATGTGTGCTCGTTGAGAGCAGGGACTCTGGCTCCAGAGCAGGCTTGAATCCCAGCTCTGACCAACCATAGGATGCCGGGCAAGAGACATTTCCTTTTTGGGCCTGTTAACTCACCTGCAAGAGGGCAACAACCACGGCCCGGCCCTCCTAAGAATCTCCAGTTGAGCGCAGCGCTGTGAAGCTGTCCGCAGCCTCTGCAGTGCTGGTTTGATCCCCGCCAGTCGTGGAGCTACCCACATGGCACAGCAGACCTCTCCTGCCTCGCCCGCTGCTCCCCTCAGCAGTGTATTTCGTCAGTCTGCCTGTTCTGCTCCCCACTCTGTCTCTGGTGAATCCTCTCACCCCCCCTTATCTCTGGCCTGTACCCCAGCTCTTGTATAAATAAATCTTTAAAAAAAAAAAAGAATCCCTGGAGTGGCTCTCACCCACCAGAGGTGCAACGGGAGCCCTGTCTGCCTGTGTGGTCAGAAGCCAGGCCTCCCCACACTCCCCGCCCACCCTCGGGCACCTCCATCATGATGCGGTCCCATAGGCGGGTCAGCTCCCGGCCCTGAGCTGAGTCTGTGCCATAGAAGGTCAGCATCTGCTGGGTGATCAGCGATGGGCTGGACACCATCTGGGGAGGGCCAGGAAAAAAAGGGGGGATGGTAGGGAGAAAGGTCCACTCCACCCCTGACCAAGACCCCCCGCAGCCATGCCCTCCTGGCCTCTGCCCAGCTCACATAGTCTCGGTGGGTGTAGGACGTGATGCAGGAGGCACACTCAAAGATGTAGACGATGAGCATGAGGACCAGGTACTGGGGAGAGGTGGGGGGACAGGGGACAGCCGTGAGGGCAGGACCTGTGACGTCACGGCCCCTCCAGTGCTGGCTCCATGGACAGTGTGGCCAGTGTGAAGGGTATATAGCTGTGTGTTCCATGTTCGAGCCTTTCGCCTTCCTCCCCTGATCCTCAATTTTTTAAAAAGATTTATTTATTTATGCATACAAGAACTGGGGTGTAAGCAAGAGGTGCAGGGGGTGAGAGGATTCACCAGAGACAGAGTGGGGAGCAGGATCGACTGAAATACACTGCTGAGGGGAGCAGCGGGAAAGACAGGAGAGGTCGGCTGCGCCGTGTGGGTATCTCCCTAGGCAGCCGGGGATCGAACTTGTGTTGCAGAGGCTGGCTATAGCTTGATAGCTGTGTCTTTAACCCCTGCGCCACCAGGGAGGCCTCCTCCCCTGATCCTCTAACCCTACACTGCTCCCCTATCTCCTCTCACTCAGCTCCCACCCCCACTCAGCTCCAGACACACTGGACTCTTGACTCCTCTGCTTCTGAGACTAGCTCTTGCTGGTCCCTTTACCCCGAAAGCTCTGCCTGTATATACACACACAGCTCAGGCCCTCGCTCCCCCAGGGCGCCCCTCCCTCCCCAGCTCCAGATCTCCCTTCCTGGTCTCTGGAGACCAACTAGGGAGGTTCAAACCCCAGTCCTGCTGCTCAGGATCCTTCCTCCCATGTAGAGTTTCCTTCCCTCCTTCCCCGGTGCCCCAGTTTTCTTTGTAAAGTGAGGGTGACAGCCAAGTTTAGGATTTGGGGTTGTGGCAAGAGCAAATGGAATGACTGCCCCGAGGCTCTCGTGGGGTGCCATGCTGAACAGACACCCCCCGGGGCTCACCGTGAGGATCATGGATCGGCGGCGGCAGAGCGCGGCGCCCACACCAAAACTGGCCACCACGAAGAAGGAGAAGCCACAGAAGATGGCGATCCAGGCACCAGCGAAGACGTCGTCCTTGCCCGAGACGCCCAGCAGTGGGTACACGCGGTACTGGTCGGCTGTCACCCACACCGTCTCGGCGAACAGGGCCAGGCCTGACAGCTGGATAGGGCAGCCGGGTGGGAAGGTCTGCTCAGCGGCAGCAGCCCTGGCTGTGTGTGTCTCCGTGAGCAAGTGCCTTCCCCGCTGGCACTTGGTCAAGCGGGCACAAAATCCGAGTGGCAAAGTGACAGCCTTCCATGAGCAGCAATGAGGCTGAGCAGAGGCTGGGCAGGACACTGCTCCTGACTCCACACTCGCAGACCAGCACAGAGGGGCCACTAGGTCAGCCCACACCCGCTAAATAGGGTTGTTATTCCCTGAGCAGGGACTCTGAACACAGCCACAAGAATTACAAATACAACACCCTTGGGTCCAGCCAGTCCAACTGCAGGAATGGGTCCTACAGGTACCTCTGGCCCTGCAGGAAAATCCCAACACCAGGAGGCTATTCCTTGTGGCCCTGGGTGAGGGGCCAGGAAGCCACACAGAGGAGTACTATGCAGCTGTGTACAGGGAGCGAGGACTCACGTGGAGCAGCCTGTGCACTATGTGAGTGGGAGGCAGGGGAGGCTTGCAGCAGGATGGGGGATGAGCAACATTTGGGGCAATACAGAGTGGCTACATGTGCCCTCCCTCCCTTCTAGCACATTCCTCCTAGAACGCATCTGACTCTCAGGAGTCCCATTCTATGACCTTACAAGTAAGAAAACAGACCCCGAGAGGTTACTTCACTGGCCACCTCTCCCATCGCCAGAATGTGGCAGAGTCTGGTGGCACGTATTGAAACCCGACATAGCCCTTGTTCCTGCCGGTGGGCCTCCAGTGTGGGGTATTTATGCCCATGATGATGATGATGATGGTGAGGGCCAGCATTTCTCAAGCCTTTCTAAGCTGAGGGCCACACACAGGTGAACGCACACAACGACCCCCACAACGAGGACATGATCTATAGATTACAGATTGGGAAATGGAGGCACGGAAAAGTCCTCATTCGAGGTCACCAGCAGGGGAGAGGCACAGTGGGATCCCATCCAGGCTGCTCTGATGTGAGCACGGGGTGTCCAGGAGTTCTGGGCCCCAGCCCCACCCCCCAGGCTCAGGACTCTCCTCCTGGCTCCCAGCACTGGGGGTGTCTCACCAGAATGATGATGTTGCCCACGACCAGCAGCCCCACCACAGCGGGAGACCCCTTCTTTGCCTCTGCTGCTGCGGAAGCCATGGTGCTGCCTGAATATAGGGGCGGGGTGGGGTCAGGCAGAGGCAGGAAGGGCGGGGGAGCCCAGCCCGGCCCACTGCCCCACTGCACACCCCAGTGGCTAGGGACTCCTCCTGGCTCTTTGCTGGGTTGGGGCTGGTACCCAGCATGCCCACCTCCCACACCCCAGCAGTGGGCATTCCACAGAAGAGGACACGGAGGTGCAGGGGGGCAGTGACTGGCTCTCTCTGAGCCTCAGACCACCCCAACTCCTCCCGCCCCATCCAGGTCCCCAGAGCCCCCTCCTCACCTTCGTTGCCAGAAACCTCTGGGGCCAGCCCTTCCTACAGAGGCTCCCTATATATGCCAAGCCCCTCCTGGGCCAGGCTCCAAGTAGGGGCAGGTGTCCAGAGGAGGGGACGACAGGACTAGCTGTGGACCAGAGCAGGGGAGTAGCTTCATGCCCACGCTCCCTCCCCTCCACCCAAGTAAGTGATTTATAGACTAGAAATTCCAGATTGTGCGGATGTCTGGTCATGTGGGCAGGGCGATGTGGGGCCACTGATTCCCGGGCTGCATGGAGGTGGCGGGGCCGGGGTTGGTTTGGGAGGGTGACAGTATCACTGATGTCTTCCTCCCCAGGACACAACAGCTGACACAGAAGGGCCTGCTTAGGGGCTGAAGTGTCTATGATGTGGGCCAGGAGCAGGTCATAAGAGCCCCAGTTTGGGCTGGGCTGCTCTCTGGCAGGAGCAGGAGAGGGCTCGCCTGGAGAAAGATGCACACTCACTCTGACCATCTAGGAATTTATGTTCTAACCAGGGGAACCTTAGTTTTAAAAATTGTATGTGCTCAAGAGGCAGCCAAAACAAGTTTTAAAATTAAGGTAAAGGGGCCTCCCTGGTGGTGCAAGGGTTAAGCATAGCACTATGAAGCTATCTATCTGCAGCCACTGCAGCTTGAGTTCGATCCCCCACCAGGGAGCAACCCACATGGTGCAGCAGACCTCTCCTGATTCGCCTGCTGCTCCCCTCAGCAGTGTATTTCAGTAGATCTGCCTGTTCTGTTCCCCACTCTGTCTCTGGTGAATCCTCTCACCCCCCACACCTCTGGCCTGTGCCCCAGTTCTTGTATGCATAAATAAATCTTTAAAAAAAAAAATTAAGGTAGCAAAGAGTTTAGAGAGGCTCTAGCTGGTTTCTCCTTGCCCTCGTTACCCCTCTGCACCCGGCCTCTCCTGGCCTGGCTGTTCTCTGAAAGTACTGTTCTCTTTCTCATATGCTGGTCCATGTGCTGTTCCTACTCCCTCCAAAGCCCTTCTCCCCACGAGCACCTGGAAGTCCCTTGCAGAAGCAGCGAGCATCACCCCCTCCTGGAAGCTTTATCTGAGGCCCGAGGCCAGGTTAATGCCTGAAACACACGGTCCTGGTCACACTCTCAGGCCCCTGGAAGTGGGTACTCAGTAAGTGCAGGGACACAAGCAGGTCTGCTGGACTGAGGGCCACTTGCAGACAGCAGTGCACTAAGCTAGAGCGCCTTAGGTGTTGACTGAGGTCAGAGAGCAGGCCAGTCAATGAGATGACAGCTGAGAGTCAGCTGCCCCCCCAAAATCTATCAGCCACCCATTTCTGGACAAGTACTTTTTAAAGTCCAAAGGCGGGCCTCCCCTGGTGGCACAGCGGTTGAGCGCTGGACTGCGAAGCTGCCGGTAGCCTCTGCAGCGCCGGTTCAGTTCCCGGCCGCCAGGCAAGGGTCCCACATGGAGTGCAGACCTCTCCTGCCGCCCCCTGCGCCCCTCAGCAGTGTGTTTCGTCAGTCTGTCTGTTCTGCTCTCCGCTCTGGCTCTGGTGAATTCTCTCACCCTCCCGTGCTTCTGACTGTACCCAGTGCTTGTATAAATAAATAAATAAATCTTTTTTTTTTTTTAAAAAAAAGGTCCAAAGGTGGGGGGTGGAGGTGAGTGGGTACCTGTCTTTCTGCTGTCTCCACATCCTGCACCAGCTCCTACTTCCATGCTCCAAGAAGATCTAGAAACAGCACCTGGCATTTGCTCGAAATCCAAGGGGCGCCATCTGGTGGCGTTCTAGTGGAGTATTCTGGGCGGTGCCCTCACTGTATCGCTCTTGGCATCCTGGAGTTTCCGGAAAGCTTCCAGGAATAAACTAGAATTATTTCAACTTTTATCTTCTGGACAAGAGTTTCCTGAAATAATCAAGTTACACTGATGAAGACAGTAAAATAGGGAAACATTGCTAATGTGGACAGTGGTTATGCAGGTGAGGATGGTTTCAGGCCTGAAGAGGAGAAAGCCAGGGAGGCACAGAACTGGGCCCTGGACACCTGTCCGCTGCTTACCAGGATGCCAAGGTGCTAAAAAAAATAATCCTGCCAGGGGAGGCTGCTGTCCCTCATGCCACATAACACAGTCCTGCTGATGGAAGCCACGTCCATTCTCCTCTTGCCATTGATGAGGTCACTGACCCCATGGGAAGTCATGTGGCCTTTCTCTTCCCTTGCCTTCTTTCTGGCCCTGACTTATCCTTGACTCAATCATCAAGCTGCAAAAGGTGCCTATGATCTGGCTGGGCTTCCCTTTTCTCCCAGAACCCACTGTGGTGTGTGTTATTTGCCAGTGGGCGAGTCACCAAGACCTGGTCCACACCCCTCCTGGTCTGTGCGCAGTCGTGAAGCAGGCAGAGTAAGTAGGCCTCATGAGGGTGAGTGCTGATTCCGGATGGACAGAGGCTTGGGTTCCCTCTGTTCCAGGCCCTTTTCTCTGGAATGGGAGAGGAGGTGAAGGAATTGACTTCGAACTGTGGGAAATGACCTCCTAGGAGGGCAGTTGTGGCAGCGTGGGCCTCAGGCCATCTGTAGTGTGGGCAGAAGGTTGCATCTGCCTCAGGAACGTTGAGTACGTGGGTTCCCAACCCTTGAGCTATTCCTGTCCTGAACACTGCCCATTTGTCTGCTCTGGACTGGGGCCACCCTACAGGACCAAGGTCAGCTGTTGGGCCTCTGCAGCAGCTCTGTCCCCTCAGCAGGCCTGCCCCCTGCTGCTGGGCACACCTAGCCAGCCTGAAAGTCAGGCAGTAACATGTGGTCACAGGGCCAGACCTCGTGACTTGAAATCTCAGATCTGCTTCTTACTGTGTGGCCTTGGATGAGTCACTTAACCTCTCTGTGCCTCGGTTTATTCATATGCACAATGAAGATATAAATACCTATCTCTCAGGGTTTGGGAGGAGTAAATGATTTTGTAGTTTGCCCTTAAGACTCATGCCTTGGTTGTTCTAAGTCGCCATGGAGGTGAGTCGCTCTTTTATGGGGCCAGATCTAGGGGAAAAGATCATGTGGCCAGGGGCCTCCCTGGTGGCGCAGGGGTTAAGACGCAGCAATCCGCAGCCACTGCAGAATGCGTTCGATCGCTGAGCCACATGGAACAGCAGACCTCTCCTGTCTCGCCCGCTGCTCCCCTCAGCAGTGTTCTGCTCCCCTCTCACCTGTTCTGCTCCCCACTGTGTCTCTGGTGAATCCTCTCACATGCCCCCCCAGCCATACTTCTGGCCTGCACCCCCAGCTCTTGCATGCATAAATATTTAAAAAAAAAAAAAAAAAGGATCATGTGGCCAGGAGAAAGGGCAAATACACTCTAGTGTATACTGAACTGTCATGGGGGCCAAGCACTCTGTGGCTTCTTACTGAATTACAGTGGGCCCCCCTGATTTGTGGGGATACACCCAAGACCCCCGGGGGATGCCTGAACTATGGTTAGTTCTGAACCCGAAACATGCTATGCTTCTTCCCTAGGGCCCTTAGGATCAAGTCTAATTTATATAAGAGGCAGAGGCCAAGCTTAACTAGTTATGCTTAACTAGTCCCACTTAATTGCAACTAACTAGTTGTGGTTAAGTAGGCCTCACTAAGTTGCATTTGAGAAGAGCCAAGTATGGGAAGGAGGGACTGCCTGGGTACCTGGGGAAAAGGCATTCTCAGGCTGCCTGAACAAGGGCAAAGACCTTTAGCTTGCAGCCAGCCTAGGGTGTTTAAATGTTTCATTTGCTCAGTTCTTCTGCTGAAGTAGCCAGAGTGGCAGGAATTATATGAGCAAGACAACTGGTAGATCAGAAGGAGAGTCATAGTAGCAAACCTTCATCAAATACATGTAAAATATCAGATACAAATAAAACATGAATTTATACATGCTTCGAGATGTACAGGCCACACACAGGAAACTGCTAAGGGTGCTCTGAGCAGAACTGGGCAACTGGAATCGGGAAATCTGGCACTTTGACTTTTCATTGGATATTCCTGCCTTTGAAATTTTCAGTGTTGTGTGCTTTCCTCCGAATGCCATTCGCTTCTACAGGCCTTCAACCAGGGGCCTCTGTTTATAGGCCTGCCTCCTCCTAAGCCACTGCCCTAGATTCCTCCCGAGGGCCACTTTCCCTCAATACAAGATCTCTCTCTGCTTATCTGAACACGCTTCAGGTGTGTTGGCTGAGCTGGAGGAACACCCAGAGACAAAGATGCTCCAGCTGGTCAGTGGCTTAGGAGTTCCCTGTTGACAAATCTGGTGGATGGCATTCTGGGTAGCTGTTCTGTGGCTTTTGTTTGGGGGCATCAAGAAAGTTCTTCATCTAGCCTGTTTAAATGACTTTCAATTGCTACCAAGATGGCCATGAAAGAGGAGCCGCAGAACACAGGGAAATACACATTGTGCAGAAGACCGCTGGTTAGATACTAGGAATCTGTGGCTGTTTCTCAGGTATAACAATGGCAGTGTGACTAAGTCTGTGTCTCTAAGAGATAACATATACTTATTTCTGGAAAAATTATGATCTCCAGGGCCTCCCTGGTGGCACAGGGATTAAGTCTCAGTAATATCAAGCTATCGGCAGTCACTGCAGCATGAGTTCCATCCCCGGCCAGGGAGCTACCCACATGGCGCGGCAGACCTCTCCTGTCTCGCCCGCTCCTCCCCTCAGCAGTGTATTTCAGTAGATCCGCCTGTTCTGTTCCCCACTCTGTCTCTGGTGAATCCTCTCACCTCCCGCACCTCTGGCCTGTACCCTAGTTCTTCTATGCAAAAATAAATAAAATAAATCTTAAAAACAAAAACAAAACAAAACACAAACCCAAAACTGGCCGAAACCACTCTGAAATCCCTCTTGCTGTCTAAGGTACCAATTCCACCCCAGCTTGTCCAACCACCTAAGTGCTTTACACAGACACTGTCTTACACTTTTCCGCGTATTTATTAGTTAAGCCATGGTTTAGGATCCCAGGGTGGGAATCGCCAAGTGCCCAGTCCCCCTTCACCACCCTGGGAAAAGGACAGACAGACGGGGTGGAACCAGTTCAGATCTTTCCAGGAAACGTGCCTTCTGCCCGGCGGTCGTCCCAGGTCGACACCTGTGGAGAGACAGCTGGGTTAGTCCCGTCTTCCTCGGGGAGGGCAGGTGAGGGGCT